AAATGTATGTACTTCAGCAGAGGTCCGACCTTTAAATTAAACATTATTTCAATGGTTAAATAGGTGATTGTAAAGTTTGGACAATAATGATATGGCTTATCCAACGCTGTACAGTTTTAAAGGTAAGATTATGCAATATAAATATGTATTGGTATTGGTATTTAGGAAATACTTGCATTTGTTTAGTTCATTGTAATTGTTCTTTTACGTACCTTTAATTTCCAGTTTACGTAACTTTTGATATTTGAGACTTTTATTGTATCAATAAGTGAAAGCACAACTTATGTTCATGCATATAATATACGTTAAAAGTATAAGTGAATTTATCCCACCTTAAGTGCTTTATATGATTGTATAACTGCAATATAAAACCAACACTCATCGTATACAACTCTTGAGAACGATATACAACTCCTGGATAGCGTATACAATTCCTGGGCAGCGTATACAACTCTTCGACTTGATATACAACTGCTGAATTTAGATTAATCTTTTATTGATTAAAGATTAGGGTGGGATAATAAGATCATATAATGGTTGATTCTGTATATCGTTATACTCTCGTGAGTATATGATATATTCACTCGTTCCCTTCAGTCACTCGTGAATATATCATATACTCACTTGAGTATAAACACGATATACGGAATCAACCATTATATAACCTCATAGTACACACTTTTATAAGTGGTAAAGGATTTATAAACACACCATATAAAAGTGCGTTGAGTGCGTGCGTCTCTAATAACTACTATTTTTCATTTGTTAAATAACATGATGGATCGAGACTATAATTTTGAATTAAATTCTTTACATGTTAGAATTTGGCAATAATCCACAGGGGGCGCTGTTGAAGAGGTAGAAGAGAAAAAATCGAAATAAAAAATCGAAAATAAAATTGGAGTAATGGTTAATTGAAATCAAGATTTACCAGTGCAAATTGCAAGTTAAAATGTACAGACTTAAGCTTTTTATTTTATTTTGTTAATCTTATATACAAAATGATTCGGTTTACTTCAAATATTTGACCTTTTGTGATGGTGGTCTTGAGTTTGAAATGTATGAGGATGGACTGTTCACGTAGAGAGAGACTGAAGAGTAACTAATTAATGAATTAAAATTAACGTATTTATCAATAATATACATATTCATATCAAGCAACATATAATAATTGATAAGGCGTCCATTTTCTTTAATAATCAATAACAGAATTCGTAATAAAACCCTAATGTGTAAAAGGGGAACAATTATAAACCGCTTATTCCAACACGATTCTTTGATTTTTAATCGTGACACGCTAAGTTAAGTAACACATTGTTAAAGCTCTCATTAATTCTGGTGTGATTACTTCCAATGGGATAATAATTAGCAGATCAGATCACTGATTTATTGGATATTGATGCTCCCCGATGTACATTAGTATGATGTGCCTTTGTCCCGGTTATTCAATGGATAATACCGGCGCAGAGCTAGCGTCAATCATTTCGTATCAATTTCAGGGCTCAAGGTCACATGGCAAGTCGGGAAATTTAACCCCGCTCTCGACAAAAAGAAAAGACACATTATGAATATAAATATACTCATTTGCTTGTATGATTTCATTTAAAAGAGATATATTTTGAGGATTAATACGGAATTGGATAATATTTCAACTGGAGGAGATCTGGTGGACTTTTGATGACGTACAGATATCCAAACTCATATAGTGTTAAAGGTAACTAGTTAAGTTTTAAAGCTCAGTTGTAGATATTTTGGTTAATATGGTATATTGGGGTTTGATTTTCTGTATTATTGTAACTTGTATTATTAGATTAAAGGTGTTAATTATTTTTGTTTCAATTTTGGTTCCTCGTTGTCATGTATTTGTCATGATCTCGTAAACATTTCTATTTAATTCACACATTTAATAAAATATTACATTTTCTTCGATAGCCAGCCTTAATTCGGCTAACAGACATACAAAACAGTGATATAATTATATGTGAATGGATTTTTCTCGTGGTAAGTTAACTGACTATTTTGTATTTTTATTATCGACTATATTCGTCAATTGCGGACTTACTAGATATGGGCGAAAAGAGTAATATAATACAATGGATCTGAGTCATACTTTACGTATATGACGGTTCTATTTTCTAAGAAAAGAAGAAAAAAGTTGTGAATTTATTTCAATATCATATTTTCGATTTTAAGGTTATCTGGCGAATATAGACACTGCGTTGTAAATCTCCAATAACTTTGTCAGATCTCTCTTAGTCCGATATCTCCATTATTTTCGACTATTGTCTTTGAAGTCACTTAAATGTATAATAGCTCGAGCAGAGTCACGTTTTTTACATCGCCAATGCTTGTATATCGCTGATCGTAAACTAATCAAAAATATTATTGGAAATTAAATGTTGAGTAGGATTTTTGCATCCGACATCAATTTTCCATTTAATTTTTTCCACTTTCAAAGGTCTTTTGATTAGACTCAACCGATATGAATTATACTTGAATAGATGTGTCGAGAGGTCGAGTCTATGAAGTGTAGTGCTGAGTTGAAATAATAAAAAGCAAGTCAGATTGAGTATCAGAAATTGATGGAATTACGCTTTGGAATGGTTTATAATTAGTACCGTTAGACTACGGACGAACGAATGCTGATGGCGGTGATATTTGAGATTATAGATCACAGTTTTCTGGGTAAACACATTGATTCAAGCGATATTTATCGATGTGAACGCGCTTAATTAAATTGACTATTGTTTACCTATAATTGTTTTAATGACGCTTGTGTTTTGTGAGATCTTGTTGTGTCAAGGTTGTATTTTGGTCTTTCGTACTACTTTTGAATAATTTTAGGGATGGGATCCATGATTCAGTGTTTTCGATTGATCCCATGCCTCCCTTTGAAATTGTATTTGAACATTCTCCAAAATCCCCACCCATTTCCCTGGGGGGGGGGGGGGTGGAACGCAAATTCTTGATCGACGCATAACCGAACTTGGAGCAATATATATGTATAACTTAATAAACAGAGTAGTCTGAATTCAAGGTGCGCTAAAAATTAAAGGCAGAATCTGATCTATAGCTGGTGACAAAATTGCAAGCAACATGTATAATTGACCTACCAACCTATTCCTTACAATATCAAATACAATATCTCCCAAAAGATTCACAATATGTTATGAATTGGTGAAGATATTAATGATTTAAAGTGCAAAAATGAGTGAAAAAATGTTTAAATTCTCCCAAAAATAATACATTATTGTAAAAATCTTTAGTTTTCCTGGAATAAAGTATGCACTGTTGTGAATTTTAGAAAATAGACATGACAAGGAATGACATGAGACAAAAATATTCTAAAATTGAAACAATTTTTTGTTTACCCTGCTCGCTTTATCTGATTCTCTCTTTAAATAAAAAATAAAACAATTTCCATAGATTTTAGCTTGCTGATGTATGCGACTTTTTACTTTTTCGGCATCAGACGTTGTTCTGGCCACTCTTGGTGCAATATCTGTATCGAGCTTCATTGAGAAATTGAAAAAAAACTTTTTTTCAAGATTATGTCGATGCACTCATGAAGTTACAAAATACATATTCCTGTTTAGATTCTCGTCCCTACTCACAAACCTCGGAAACAAACACTTTGGTTTTGCTAAAGACGTCATGAGCATTGACTGTGATATTGCACGGAGTGTTGCAGAAACCTTCTTGCTTACCGGCTCAATTATGAAAACAGTTTTGTTAAAAAAAAGCATCGCATTTCCAAATGTTCAACAGAGAGGAAAATAAGTGATTTTCAAGAATGGAAGCCAATGATAATCTGCATATTTTTAGGAACATTTATTGTAAACTGGAACCAAGCTTCGCCTGGGTCGTTGGAAAACGATATCCATCATATCTATCAATCAATTTTTGATCAATCATTATTTATTATAATGTAATACATGTTTGTAATGTGATATGCATGTATAAATTGTTGTGCTGTCCAATAAAACGGAGGAAATAAAGAAACATAAACATAAACAGACTGGGCCAAATACAAGTTGGGCTAAAACGCATTCCCCTCTTACACGATTGTACCCTGCGTGCAGAGTCTAGACATAGTAGTTAAACTTGAAGACGAAGCTCTCTTTTAAGAAGTGAAGTCAAACGAATGCAAAGGGTAACACGATTGTAGATCGCATTTCAGGCAAATTCCCAGAATCAGGGAGTCTTATACAATACTGTACAGGTGAATTACAGGTGGACAATGTAAATGCCACTCGAAAAAGTCACCTTGGGCTCGTTGAAAAGGTTCAAAAGGACCTTTTCTTAAACATGTAGAGCAACAATTAGAAAACGTTTAATAGAAAACAAACTTTTATTCAATTCCTTATATAGAAGCTACAAGTTTCACTATTTACAGATTGAAGATCTGAAAGAAGTTGTTGTACAAGGACCAGTTCTCAAATACCGCCACCCTGAGTAAAATGTATCGCGTGAGAAAGTATGGTTCGTTCGGTGTAAAGCAATTGAGTTATTGGTATTGGTATACAACTCAATATTAGAGTTAATCACTTTTTTGTTAACCTAACATGTAGCAGAATTGAAAATAGCACCATTTAGCGCGGTTACACCAACTAATGAACGAACACGTAAATCGCTGCTACAAACTTAAGGAATATTGTATTCGTTGGATTACCACGTAACGTTACCTCGGTGTCACATGTCACAAAGGCTGTCACAAAGGCTGTGTGTTTCACGAAACATATACAATTGTTACATTGGAATAGTTGAATAACTAGCACTGTAGGTATTCACAAACTTTGTCGAAAAGATAAAATTGGAAGTGTAGTACTAGAATAACTTGATTTCTGGCACAGTTTGGATTTATTCACGCATTACATATTAATCAAACATTTTGAAGGTACCGGGCCATTAAAATTGGAAGTGAAGTACTAGAAGAGTTTAATTTCTGTCACTGTTTGGATTTATTCACGCACTACATGTTAATTAAACATTTTGACTGAGCCATTAGAATTGGAAGTGAAGAACTAAAATAGTTTAATCTCTGGCATTGTTTGGATTTTTTCACGCACTACATATTACACTTTTTGAAAGTACCGAGCCAGTAAAAAAGGAAGTGAAGAACTAGAATAGTTTAATTTCTGGCACTGGATCGGATTTATTCACGCACTACATATTACACTTTTTGAAAGTATCGGTAGATGGAATCAGATACGCGATGAGTTGTTTCAGCTTCCATCTTTTTACCAGGTGAGTTTTAATCAATTATAACAAGTTATAAAAGATACAAAATTGATTCATGTTACAGTATGTTTCTTTGAGGGAGAACTTTGAATTCGCCAGAGGGATTTGAGGAAGAAAATATGAGAGGCTGGGAGGCGTGTAGGGAGAAACGTAGAGGGGTGGGGAAGATTTGAAGTAGTAGAGGAGGGTAAGACACGTTTAAACAGAGGGGAAGGGCCAATGAGGCCCTTAAGGAGGAAAGAAGATGCGTTCGACAAAGATGATTATGTCAACATTTTTCCAAATAGTTTAATTAGGTTAATAAAACGCTCAAAAGATTTTGGCCTTCAAAAATGATATATATTAATATGTTAAGTATACACGTTTGAGCTTTTTGTTTCTAGCAAAAACAAGTTGACACTCCAGGGCAGCGGAAGCCTTGAAGGGGAAAATGGGAGTGTGAGGGAGATCTATTCTTAATGAGTTGCAGGGTGATTTGATTTTCGGAATGTGTACTGAATGACATAACACCAGAGGTTTTTTAAAGCATGTGACATGAGAACAACAATATTATACTTGTAGAAAAGTTGTATTATACTAGCTTATAATATTATATGAAAGAACAATACTTTTACTTGTAGATACAATAGTTTTGAACAAAAAATCAATTGCTTTGAATGCAAGATACAAAAGGTGTCATCTTCTCGGCAAAATGCCTCAAAACATGTACCTACATTTCGAAGGTTAAAAATGATTATTTCTGGCAAAATATTTTGCGAATTGAAATAATGGGGAAAATGAAATAAAAACAGTTATGAAAAACAGCATGAACTGCAACAAACGTATATAATCTTGGTCGTTTAATTTGATTTTAAGTGACGTGTTAGACAATCATAACGAATAATTGATAGATTGACACCTCAAGTGCTCGGAAAAACAACATTTCTTACCGTATCACAACGTGGGCTTTGTCTGTGATATACCTCAACATGGTAAGATACTTTTGTTCATGATTTTCAATAATAATTTGCTTGGGATATTTATAACAGCTGTATCTACATGTGTTTCTTCTGTGCCCGTTTTCAATTGAAGCAGTGATATTCCAAAAGGGAAACTAATTGATATGCAGGTTTCAAAAGAGGGCAGCTATAATTCACAAATATTAACATGTTTATATATTTTAAATTTTTTCATTATTTCCTCAGCTTCATATTGAGCTATGTAATAGTTTTAAGAAAATAAAAAAGGATTGCCTTAGATATGTTCTGGTGGCCATCCGGGGTATATTATGTTTTTAAGAATTAACGTACATTTGACTGTACATGTATAGTCAAACATATTATTCTATTGTATGCATACATTATCCAAGTGCCATTCTCAATAGACGTGTCAATAGATATTGTAGAATCTGGTGTCCCTATACACATACCTAAATAGTGCATTTGATGACACGAATATAAATGAAACTCAATATAAGGGAGAAACAGTGACGAGTTCTTCGTTGAACTCGACCCAAATGCTGTCAAATATATTTTATTTGTTTGACCTTGGTACGATGTAAAACATACGATATAATATGCGAGTATTATTTACAAAAGAATTACATTTAGGACAGTTTCCTAGTTCGTCTTAATGTTATGAGTCATGTAGAACTTTCGAGATTCGACAACCAATTCATCATTCTACCGTGCACGGCACACACTTAAAAATATTTTAAAATACAAGTTTTGTTTAGTAGCCTATATTTGCATTTTCTGAAAAAATCCACAACAAATATTTCAGTCCTGCACTCGAGAAATGACACTTTGTAGGTAAGGCACTTTACCTCCAGAAGTGATTATATACTTCGGAGTTTCAAAGGCGAAATTACATGGGATACAAACTTCAGAGTACGTGAAATTATCCATCACAGCTAACGGAGTTCACACGCGAAGGAATTTAAACCAAGATAAAATGGAAATTAGTCAAATCAAGAGGAATTAGATTCTGAATCGGATAATTCATACGGGGACTAGTTACACGTCAAAAGGGGACCAAGATGCAGGAGGAATACGACGGTAAGTATCGGGGTACAATTAGTTAAACGTCGCTAGTATACACATCACAACGATAACGCGTTCCAAAATCGGGACCTTTTGCAAGGATGGAGGCAAATTAGTCGCATTCCCTTCTGTTATCGTAAGCGTTATGCTGGACCATGAATAAAACCTTGTCGAGGTCAAAACCCATAATTCAGTACATATTTATTAGAAATATTCAGACAAAATAAATTTATCATTGATTTGTCTTTATAATAAGTATCCATTTGAGTCTATATTCTTTTTTTAAACTGTTTTGTGTGTATTTATTTTTTATAAATATTTGATTTTTTCTTGGCCTGCAAGGTGATTGTGTGATAATGACTGTTTTGCGTCATTGTTTGTTTAGAGATCTTGTTTGTTAAGTTTCATTGTTTGTTGAACAACATTGATTGTTTAATTTCATTGTATTTTGTGGAATATTGGGAATCCTGTTAGTTGTATCATTGTATGTTTGGTCAGAGTGCGTGTTCAATGTCTTTTAATGTTGGATGTTGTTTGTTTGTTGATAGTGATGTATTGTTTGTAAGGCGTCATTGTTTGCAGGGTATTTTACTTTGATTCCTAGTTAAACGCCCTGTGTCACACTCAAAGAGACGGTAACACTTTCTAAAGCCTTGTAATCTATGCATTACACTTACACAAAACATCAAAAACTTGCGTGATGTTGACACTAAACTCTGTTATACGGTGGAATGCCGAACGACTAAATAAAACATGCAAAAAATAATAATCGTCCTTCAGTCTTTGTTTGCGTATTAATTATTGAATCTTTTCATTTACTAATTGTTTCGAGGTGTACACAGGGAGACGTGCCATAGTCGATATAATAATTTCCAACTCATTATCCTTTAAGAATATCTTTCTGTTCTCTAATGGTTATGCGTATATCGTTAGTGACGAACAGAAGCGGATCCGGAAATCAATAAAAATGTGAGGTCAGTGTTCACTAGTATGAGTCAACTTGACAATTACGTTGACTTGCAAATGAAGGCTTTTTGATAGATGATGATTAGTGTTGAAACAGAAAAAGCGTGCTATTTCTTATCATTTTGAAGATTCCTAGGATAATCTTAAACATTTACATTGATATAAGGGCGTGTAGCTAGAGGGGATCGTCTAGCTCTCATAAACCCACGCCTTGGTGTGTGTAATTTACCGAGACGGACGGGAATAGGACTAATACAATCAAGATGTCATACAACAAATTATTTATTGACATAACTTTACGGAGACCTTTACTCAGATTTGCGTAAACGTCTGCAAACAGATCTAAGGGTTCAAACACAGTGAGAAATCACAGCGTTCTTGAAGTACACTTTAAACTTGTATTCGCCGGCGGTCAGCTGACGGATTAACCTCCTAGTTTATAACTAACCCATTCAAATATGAATACTAGTATTACCTGTTACTATTCCATTCATGGTTAAATGACATTGCCAATAAAATAGTAAGTTGATCCGGAAATCGACATCCGAGCGCATTTGCGAATACATTCTTTGAAATATACATGTACAGTATGTATGTCCCTAGCGAATGTGATGACTATCAAAATGATGCGAACACTTTTCAATTGAGCATCTTTTTCGTCCACTCTTCTTTCGATTCCCTGTGCACTTCGAGTTGAAGCATATTATTTTCATGAAACGACCAACTTCTACTTCTAAGGGTGTCGCAAGATGAACATAAGTGTGAGGCATATGCGTCCGGCCATCTATTAAAACATCACACCGGCATGTAGTTTTTTTTAAATAATTTAATACGCCGCGCGAACATGTGCACGAAACGGAACTAGTTCGCGGAAGAGGTATTTTTGAAAGGTCAAATAATTATGAACTAAGTCGGACCCGTAGCAAGCCCCTCTCCCCCCTGCCAAAACTTATTTTAAAATCATGCCGTTTTTCACCATTCTGAGCATATTTCATGTGGTATTTGGCCAAAGTTTTCAAAAATGCCCCCCCCCCCCCCCCCCCTAGAATGTTTTGAAAAGTTACTCCCCTCCCCTTTGCAAAAGCTGACAACAAACCTGTATATACTTATTGATTATCCGACGGGGGCAGCGCACGAGTGAACGAAAATGACTCCTGTCTTAACTATTAACTTAACTGTGAACTTTTTAACCGTTTAAAACGGGGCGGTTTGACACCTAAATGCGGATCCTTAAATGCCCAAGTGAATGGGTCTGATTAGTACTCATGTATGTAGTCATCTTGAATGTAGAGTGTAAGTACATAAACACGTTTATGAGCAATTAACAAGTAATAACTCTGAGAATGCTTGGGGACAAATAATCAATTTCGTAAACAAAAACATATTCTGTATGCTCCTCAGGTATACCAGGTGAACATAAAACGACCCTTTTCAATAATTACCCTAAGTACAGGAGTGATGCTCTGATTGGGAGAAAGAAAGACACAGTTTTGACACTGAAATACCTATCTGCCGATATGTCACTGCATCGTGTTTGATGGGAGTACCATTAAAAATAAATGCCATGTACTTATGAAAGCATAATGTGCAATAACTGATATTTTTTGATTGAATAGCTTAATCTTGATCGACCATGATAGCTAATTTGGGGTCATCATGAGACAGGATCGTAGGCAGGTATAAAGCGAGACGATTTTTATGTCATCACCCCAAATGTTGACATGGAGACTCTTACAATATTATTGTTTTTTTTGCGGACGGTGATCGACGGTCGGCGTTCGGCGTCTGTAACAAATAACAGGTGGTGACAATATGTATCATAATGCTTGTTTCTGCTAATTGTTCATCCTAGCTACGCCCCTGGCATTTGTCCTATATTCAGAGGGTATAACTCACTGCTAGCAATGCCTATGTCTAAGGGTAGGACAAAATAATTAAGGCTTTTGTTACTTCTGCAAAAATTATAAAACTTTAATCAAGTTCAATGTCAATTTACTGTACTACACGGTTAATACCAATAGTGATTCACTTGATGTTATAGCATTTAAACGTTAGACTAGCGTGTCAAAGAACACTGAGGATTTATTACTGTTTCGACCGGGTTGTTTTCGACTTTTAACCCCGCATACAAAAGAAAAAAATAAACATGAAATTGTGAATAATGACGAGTCAATTGTACATGAATTGTACATGACATAGAGTGACTTATTGTACTCTATTGTATATGGATAATTATAAGTTAAAGCATCGTTTTCTGTCAGTACTATTGCATGTACGGTGGATAAGTGAAAGTACTGTTTTGCTGCCAGTTAGTATTTAGGTAGATGCTTTGCTTGAACGTTTAGTTCATTCATAATTAAACGGCACCCATAGCACACAGGTTAAGCAACATCGGAGTTATTATATGTCAAATAAATCGCTGGAATATAAAAGCTCAGATTATAATATCGATAAATAATGATGATACAGTTATTTCATATTTCTATAGGGAAAACATTTATGAGAGTGTGAAGGAATGGTGAATATTTGTACAGAAAGTTCGTAGTCGAAAGTTCCAACTAATCATAAGGATTATGTAAACGATCTTCACAAAATGGAGCGTCAGGGATCAAGTGAAAAGGGTAAGATAACTGGCTTGACTAACCATCCATGCATTCCTATTCTCATCACATTTTTCTGCTTTCAAACTAGCAAAATAAATTATGACATATTTTATTAGTCTACAACTTTTTTTGTTGACGGTATTTGGCGTTCGTTGGTTGGTGTTTGGCGTTCCCCGGTTGGTGTTTTGGCGTATGTAACAAGTGACAGGTGGTGACATTTTGCGTGCTTATACCTTTTGATGATTTTATACGGATTAACATTGCACGATTTTGATTTAAATATGGAACAAGTTGGGGTATGTAGGGTAATAATAGATTATGAATCGTGCTTTCTATAATAAAACTCTATCATAATGTATTACGTCATATCTTTCTTTCGCATCTCTTTCAAATTGTTATGTGAAATACGATAAGTATCTAAATGGAGGGACCAAGCTATTTAAATAGCAACTCAACTTTTTGAACTCGAAACGAATTCATTTTTACCTGTTAAGGAGTCCTGAATTGAATGCATGGGTAAATTAAAAAAAATACTTCGAAGTAATTATTCGCCAAATGATCGAGGCATGGAGCCATCGGGCCTTACTAAGTACATTTAAATGTTAGTATTTCACATACGTTTGTAAAATCAAAATTTTGATTTGACATGTTGACGTTTTTCTGTCTTGTAAAAGTGAAAGCTTTATTATACACAAATGTGTTATGCAAACAAGAAAATGTAAGAACATGCGCGTTACATTTACAATATTTACTCATCTCAAAGTAGTATAGCTGCTTTTTTATTTCACTGTCGTTGGCTTAGTACACCAAATATTTAATCAATGAACTCGTTGTACCTAAATGGTTCTTATCTATTTCAGCCCGATTTCTACCATTCACCTGACTTTTTCTATAGAGCATGGTAGATTCTTAGCCAGTTTTCACTGCCAGTACATAATTCGATATTCATGAACGACTAGCAATTGGAGAAATCTGATATCAAACAGTTGTCAGTTGTTGATCTTCTGGGTTTATATCGTTTGTAGGGGTTTCGCTGTCTCCATGTTTTTAAAGTTTCGCTTTTCAGTATTCTAATGGTTACAGAAATAGAAATTACAGCATGATTTCATCATTGCGACAATGTGACGGAATATATGTAAATGTGCACCCCCCCCCCCCTGAAAAAGTTTGGTAACTCAAACTCCCAGTCGCACCAAATTATTAAAGCTAGTTCATATTCGGCGATTTAGAGGACACCCACCCTAACCCTAATTAGATATTATGTATTTATTCATTCATTTATTTAAGTGTCACCTATCTAAGATAGCCAGCCCTACCTGGGCTTATGAGACACATTTTACATAATTTACATATTTAACAATACAAATATAAAAATTAGTGCAGTTCAATTCAACACCATTATTGATTTTGATTTTTAAATAAAACTCTTTTCCTTATAAAGAATGTTTTTTTGCAAATACTTTCCAAAGCATTTAATATATTTTTTTATTTTCAAAGATATCTTAAAGGAATTGTCTTTGATTTCTTGAAGAAAATACTTTCTAGCTTCTGAATAATATGAACACTCAAAAAAATGTAATTCAGGGAAAACTTGACATGATGGGGTTTCATACGCTTTACACTTTTTGGCATGGTTGCCAAACTTTTTGGAGGGTAGTGTACATAGAAATGTCCTTATGTTTTGAGGCTATTATGTATGTTTAAACTATACAACAGGTGTCGGTTATAACCTGAAATTGCTTAATGAATTAGGTAGGACGTGTAGGAAGAATATGTAAATAACTCTCCACATTTGTATGTATGTTTTAACTTCTGAGCAGCGCGTTGTTCAATTCACCGTTTCCATGCATTGGCACACACTTCAAATCACTTCCCTCTGTCCACAATGGACATATTGGTGTTTGTGTAGTCTTGCTTAAAATACCCTATACCCCCCCCCCCCCCTTATCCTTCTCTCTAGTGTATATCGCCAGGTAAAGAGAGTGAAGATGACGGGGGGGGGGGGTGGATACAGTCTTTGAGCAAGACTAGTGTTTGTGACACATTGTGTAATTCTGATCAGTTTTAGATTTTGATTTCGCTCTCTTAAAAGAGAACTTCGTTTAATCTAATTACTTGGCTCTGAGCCCTAGGGCTTGTAATTATTTTCTGAATGTTATTTTCCACATACACACATCCATTTATACATTATAATTCTGTATAATGTTAACACTATTCACCAAATAACATCCTGGACATTATTTACTGCTTATTCATACCCCCTCCCCTCCAATATAAGTCTTTTAAACTGAAGCTTTTTTGAGGGGCGGAACAATACACGTTTATTTTGCAGAACTAGATATACCTCTAGATCATGATGTCGTATTGGCCATACCTTTATTTCCACGGAGGCTTAAACAAAATTGAAACATGAGCTATAAAGGGATTAGGGTTCTTATAATCCCTATATACACAAGATATTCTGGATTTACATGCTTTCTGATGACATTGAGGGTTGGATGAGGTCGATGATTAAACAAACGAAAGGTTTTCTCCTACTAATATTTCAATGCATATATTTGGTTACATGCATACGTTGGGGATAATCTCCAAATATCAAACGTTACATTCTCATCTCATCTTTCTGCGTTATATCAGCTGCGTTTTGGTAATACGCATCACCCATTCCCCCGTGATGAAAGGTTAAATACTTTGTCAAAAATAAGTTTTGAAATAAGTTATACTTATGAATTATATATGATGACAGGAATTGTCACTAAATTGATTATAAGTGGCTGCAACCGCGTGCCTCCAAAACAGCATGGAATATCGCGTGAGGGTGACGAAACATATTATATACGAATTCTCTCAGTTTTTATAACACTAGATGCACATTGTGTAGAACTAGTGCAACTCAAAACGCCTATTGAATTTGATGATCATAGTGCAATGTGATTTCATTTGCACCTTTTTCAAACGCACATTTTGTACATCGTACACTCCTTATCTCATTTTGTTAGGAAATAAAAAAATTCAGCGGAATAGATGAATATTAAAGAAAGTTAGAGCATACAGTTCATTATTTCTTGGACAACCCTCGTACATTCCTTTTCTCATTTTGTTGGGAAATAAAACACGTTCCAATAACGTTATGACCACATCCAAACCTACATAACGAAGTCTAATAGAAATATGCAGTATATTTCGGCTATTCTTTAATACATAATTATCTATTTTCAGATGATATTTCGACCCCCGGCCTCTTCGAAGATGATATGATGAGTGCAGGGGACTTCCTGTGTGTAGGGGACTGGATCACGCTGTTCTGCGAGGAAACGGAGGGATATCTCTACAGTTGGCAGTCAAGGTAAGCGGTCGTTATGAGTGAATGAGGTTGTACTGTATATCATTGTTTTGTATGGGGAGGTTAGTCAAGGTCACCATAAAAAACACCTGAATTTGCTGAAGTGAGGATTTCCCATGTTAAAAATAAGAGAATTTTAAAAAGGCCGTGACATCAGTGGATGAGAATATACAAAACTTAAGGGATGTGTATCTAGACATTATTGGAAGTATAAAGTCTCAAATCACCATGGTCTGGGAATGGTGATTGAAAATCAAGATGCCATTTATTTATGGTGAGCACTGTACGTTATGAGAGTATGAGGATGTGTATCATTGTTTTGTATGGGGAGGAAGGGGAGAGGGGGGGGGTAGGTGGACGACTCATCTTATCGCAGTGGTGGTAAGCTGATTGCGACCGTTTTTAGAATTATATGGAATTGGGCCCCAATATATTCTTAATTTTACTTTTTGGCAAAATCTTACACAGGCGTTATATTGCGACATAACGACACACAGTCAACAATCGTGATCGTGGCCTTTTTAATACCTTTTGTCACACTGACATCAAAAGTGGTGTTTATTGCAATATAAGGCCAACGTAGATAAATAAATATTTAACATGGTCTTCAATTCCTTATTAAATTTACAAAACTGCACCAACACCTCGAGTCATTCTGTGTTTTTAAAGATAACCCATTGTTCAGATTCCGAAAGCTTTTGTCAGTTTTGAGATATTATCTCAAATCATTATATGAATTTCAGGAATAGCCATAAATCTAAATATTTTCCTTCAAAAAAAACAACAACAGAAAACATTGAACTATTTTGCCATTCCTAAATCAAAGTTAAATTTAACATTAGCATTCAGAGGAACAATGTTTAAGTGTGAAATGAAACTGTACCCAGCTTAAAGGGTAACTTAAGACAAGGTTGATACTTTTACTTAAACTAAATATATTTACTTTAGAATACTAGATAAACACACCACCAAGTTGACAAATATAGGGTCCATCAAAAATTAAATCGATATAATCTATAGACATATAAAGTATGGATACTTTATCCTCAATTTAAAAAAAAGTGGCTTGCAAAATCGATACTTTTGTTCTGAGCGAACCTACATTAATTTTAAGAAAAAAAGTTCAAAAACAATCAGTTTTCGAATGTTAACATCGACGAACATTTGTATAATGAAAGAACGGCCTGTGTGGGCTTAGTTAAAAGAAAGACGAAAATAACATAGGCATTTCTCGATTTCATGTCTTGATAACTTTTATTTTTATTTATATTATACCTTAAATTTTACAATTAACATTTTCATCAATTTATGTAATTTCACATATATTTCATTCAAAATTTTCCCATTTGCCTGTAATTGAGCAATCAAATGTACAACTGATACTTTTTTCCTGATAAGTTCAGCGTAACTAGGCTCACTCATCTAATAAACGGCATACAATAACCCAGATGCGAGTAGAAATAATCTTGATTTACGTCATTAAAAATTCAAAATTCAGTCAAAGTAATATCATATTTGAAATCTACATGTAGAATAACATCTAGAAATGTGGTTTTAAAAAGTGTTTATCAACTTTGAAAAATTAATTTTCTTTGAAAATGTGACTTCTAGCTCGGGGAGATTCCCCATAGACCCCATGCTATAAAATCACAAAAAATGAAATATCTTTTCTTTTAGTAGACAGATAATATTTTGCTTTACTGGACATATTTTCATTAGTATAAGTATCAGACGCATAAGGGTTATATGAAAATTGAGCCACTTAAATTGATAATATTCAAGTTTAAGGGAACTTTCTTGTATACCTGCCATGTTAATTGACCCGAATCAGCCATCTGGCGGTGAAACTGGTAACTACCTCCTCGCATTTGGGTAATTATAAAGGTGTATCAAGTTATGCACCTCTTGTAGTCTCTAAAAGGAAAAAAACTCCACTATACCTAGGTGAGCATTTTCAAGCAGTTACATTTAGATAAAAGAGGGTTCCTATCAAAGTCAAGTGTTGGTGCAATACACAAGTAATTTTGGTTATCTTCAATTTTGGTACATTTAGGACCAGGTTTAGACACAACGTCCCTTCGAACACTAATGCCTGAGTCACATTTGCTGCAGTTCACCGGCCGGCACCCAGCCGATTGAGTATTTTGTTCCAAACTGAATACAACACTCAATCGGCCGGGCGCCGGCCGATGAATCGGGGCAAATGTGACCCAGGCATAAGAAGAAGATTGATATTTCTTAGAGTTTAGACTTTCACGTCATTTTCCCCGTTCGTCATTTCTGGAGGTGCAGTATCGTAAGTAAGTAGTGGGGTAAGTAGGTAAGTACATACTATATGTCTAGATTGAAATCAAAATACAGTCAATCTGTCAGGATAAAAGTATTTAATTATAGTTGATGACTATTGGAATGTGCTTTTTATCGCTCGAATATGATCATTCGCCAAAACATTTTGACCAAGGATTGGTTTTTACTACTATTGTCCTACAGATCCCAATAAAAGCTAAACACTGTTTTTTGAAAAAATAGGAATCGTCTGAATCTAGCAATTCAATATACTCATATTGGATGTCGTATTTTAGAAACAGAGCTGCATATTTTTGAATTACGCCAGAAGACCTTATACCCGGGGAATTATATTACCCCGATACAAGATAGAGTAAACGTGAATATCGCCCTAGCCTTCATTGTCCGCATTCAAGCTGTGACCTAACTCGACTTACTGGTAAGACGCAGCTGTGATCAAGTAGATAAATAAATGGTCCTTGTTCCAAACATTTCGATTATATAAGTTTGCATAATCAAGATTTTACGCTTTCATTGCGTAATATTATACAATGGTTACGTAATCGTTTCTTTTGTATACAATTACGCAACCTTTTTATCGATAGATAGCCGTGTCCCCATGCCAAAAGGTTTTGTAAATATGTTATATTTTATATAATAAATCTATAGAAACTTACACATGTTCTTTGGATATAAATGGTATATGTATGTGTAAAATAGGACTATACTCGTATATGCCCCAATAACGTTCATTACCCATGGTTCACCCCTCTTAAAACCGGGGGCATGACTCCGAATATTTAGGAGACTATCAAAACTGAAGTGCTTTGTTTCATTCAAAAGCACAACCGAAAGTATTAGATTTCTTAACAAATACATAACTGATCAAGCACATTTCAATAATGTTGAAGATCATGTCCTATCAAGTGATCCGAATTATTAAAGCAAACGATATCAAAGATCGCCCAGAAATCGAATGGCTCAAGGTATTTACATGTACAATAAAGGTCTACCTGTTTTATGTGTTGAGTCACATCATGATTATTAATGAGAAGCTCAAGAAATGAAATGTATTTCCTTTTGCTGAAATAAGGGGGAGGGGGTCTTGAAGACTACATATACACATAAACAGTAGAGGGTAATACCAATCGCTAACCTCTGAGACACGTTTAAACAAGAAGTACCCTCAAGCCCATTAGGGTCTAAATATTAGCAATATCATCTGGGTAGGGATAATGGCCCTCCTTCTGTTTGATATTCATTTGTCAGGATTGAGTATAAGCCTCTGAGGATGTAGCTGTTATTATGACATGACCGTCAGTGTTTACCCAACCCCCCCAAAAAAACAAAAAAACAAGTAAAGCTCCTCCCTCGAGCCCTTAGATCAGCCCGGATTTGTTTTTTTTAAATTGGTTAAAGTTCATCAAATCAAAGGGAAGTATACAAGACCAAATGATCCGTCCTTTGTCGAGAGTGTTATTTGAATCTCCAAAAGCTCTACATGCATCATGTCAACATCGATCTCCAAAATCTATTAAAAAATATTCAATCAATTATTTTAGAAGTTACTTAGAATCAACTGTGTCAACTTAGCGACAATCGGGTATTTATTTTACAAAAAATGACAATTGTGTTTTGTAACTTTAAATATAAAAAATAGCTCACATTGAAAATGTATAAGGCATAAGTGCGCAGTATTTATAGAAATCGCTGGTAGTATGAGGCAGCTCGCTAATGCATCTATTGATACAACAAAATTCATCTATCTTCAACTATGCGTATCAGAGAATCGAATTATATCCAAAACTAACAAATAAACTACTATCTGGTAATTCATAAATGGGGAGTGCCCTAATGAGGTCAGTGTGACAATAGACCGATGTGCGTTTTTCTGATGAACTTGATGTCAGGGCGTCTTTAATACCCGGGAATGCGTCTATGTGTACTGGACGAAATCATTATCCCAATGTTATCAGTTCAAGAGGATGGAATACACCGGCATTCAAAACGTGAACCTATCTCCATATAAAAGATGAACCTATGTCAAGTTGATCTTAACATGGAGATTGGATTATTTACAAATTGTGACAGTCCTCATTGTGAATGCATTTGATCTTAAAACACGTAGTAAATTTGCGAACGTCGTCGCGTGCCTGACATCGCGTTCGCTCTTGTTTGCTCTACCTTTTGTATTGGGATATATTCAATAATGACTCTCGGTATTGTCGCACTTATAGTTGGTTACAGAAACATTGTGATAACGATATCCCCATGAGAATGATAGATGTGCGCAAGTTATCATGAATAATTAAAATAATCAATCCAAAACAGAATGATCCGTGCGTCTTGATCTAAGTTGATGAATACTAGAATGTAAATAAGCCGGGCACTCATTTAAAATTATGGAAGATGGTGGGAGATGCAAACATCGTTTATATCAAAGCTCTGGTATCACAGGCTAAATCATTTTCAAAATAATACAGACTAATACAAAAATAATACAGACTAATACAATACAATACAATACAATACAATACAATATAATACAATGTAATACAATGCAATGCAACACAATACAATATAGGTACAATGAAATGCAATACAATACAATACAATATGTGCAAAATTGTATTGTATTGTACAATTTGTGCGTGCAAAATAGTTCTAACACTAACAAGTACAAATAAGTACAACAACATTGTTTATATTAGTTCAGTTTACTAGTATCCTAAATAGTTTAATGTTCCTGTACCAGAATATAGATCGGAGTTGAATCAGATCAGATATGCGCACGATTTTTCCGGTTCTCGATCTGAGTTGATAAATACCGGAATGTTAAACAATCTGGGCACTCGATTGAATATTGTGTTTGTTCGAAACGGTGGGGAAGCAAACGTAAACATCGTTAATATCGATGCTCCTGAGGAACAAGCTATCAATTTAGAAATTATTTTTATTTATAAGTTGCTCTTGGCATAATACAATATTGTAACATTAACCAACTACAACCGATTCCAACAACCTTTTCAAATTGTCTTTTTCTTTTCATCATTTTATGTGTTTTACCTTTAATTAAATATACTGTATATTAAAACAAAACACGGGATTTTTCACTGAGATTAAGTTTATTTTCCGTGTATCTTGAAGATGCATCCCCTGGGCTTATCAAAAGGTTACCATGTTATCTAGTAAGATTTTCAAGAATCAAATTACAGTTCAACCGTCAAACGGGCGACAATATTATATTGCTTGTAGATATGTAAACCACTAAATAAGCAATACGTCTGCAGTCCTCAGACAGACCGGTGTAAAAGAAATTATGGTCCCCTTGGGATTATGGTCCCCTTTCTTAAAGGCCCTTACTGGCCCTGATTGTGGATACGATAATAAGGGAAAGAGTTGTATTTAGGTCACCATATAAATCAATGGAAAGTAGGACCATAATTTGATAGGATCTCCTACCCTTTTACACCGGTTTATAGAGTAAGCCGCGATGTTTCAAAACATAAAGCACAATCAGCCTTAAATCCAGGGTTCAAAGTAGCAGTCTATGTTTTGCTACCCTAGAAAATGTGCACAAAGGGAAATATTTGAAAAAAAACGAAACAACATATTACCCCTAAGACACATAAATATTCATATTTGAATGCTTAGTTCAACTTATAAAATCAAAACGGAAATACGATTCAAAGAATTGTAATCAGAATATACCGCAGGTCAGTATCCGATTTCTGTCTAAGGAGTTTGTCGCCTATAAACTTGAAATCTGATGGTCTTATTTCAACGCCATCACTACAAGTGCACTCTAGTACGACCCATAAGACTCTCAATACCGACGTGAACAGCTTCTGTTTGGAGCGAATTGGCTCTTGCAAGTAAAGTTCTGTTTAGTGGTGCCTATCTGACGTATCCATGGTAATTGTCTGCAAATCGGTGATGCTTTGAGTGACAAATGCGAACACAAATCATGGCCAGTATTCTGCTTATCCTCAAGCACAACAATCGATCCCCGAGGCCCAAGAATACGTTAAAAATGTTTAAAAAGTCCGCTTGTGTACTGAGTTGTTAATGCGTGGCCTATACATATATCTTTTATTAGAGATTACTTACATGTATTAGAATAAGACTGATTTTTAAAAGCTTAATGGATAAGAATAAGACTGATTTTTTTATCAGTGGCAGTATACCCGGTGTAAAAGAAATTATGATCCCCTAGGGATTATGGTCCCATTTCCTTACGGCCCTTACTGGCCCTGACTGTGTATGAATAATAAGAAAAAAATAATTGTAATTAGGTCACCATATAAATCAATAGAGAGTAGGACCTAAATTTGATAGGACCACCTACCCTTTTACACCTGGCCTCAGATCGACCCCTTTCTTTTCTTTGGAGAATTTTCATATATAATTATTTGTATATCATTATATACATATGTCACTTCCGGATAGAAAGGAAAATTAGCCCAACGTGGTCAATTTCCAAATAATGTCTCTAGAAACGGATAACTTACCTGTATGGTCAGACGTGGGAATGAGAAAGGGAAAATAGTCACGTGGTTAATTTTGAATAATGTCTAGAGACAGATAACTTACTCCACTGGCCTAACGTTGGTATAAAGATGTGCAAACACATTGAAGCACTAGCAATCTTGAATAATAAAAGTGCAAATAGAATGATCGATGTTATCAAATTAATATGCTTTATGACGAGTGTAAGTCGATTGATGGAAATATCATTTTTATATACTTGAGATCTTACACTGTATGTGGATAAATGGGATTTTGGAATAAGACCCCTAGTACTTAAAATAAAAACACCCTCACATAAGTATTTTTATCGATTCATCTTTATTCCAGTGTGATATACCAAACAATAATTTTCTATTTTCCTTGACAGCATCGATCGCGACGTATTGAAAAGTATAATTTTGGTTCCCAGAAGTCACCATTTTGATTTAGATTGCATTTTGTTAGAGCCATTGCATGCTTACGTTACGGTGAAACAGACCATTCCTTAACATCTCTATCTGTTATGGTAGAACAAATTCGAGATTCACACATTAACAACCTGTAACACGCTATAATACGAGTGCAACACGCTATACGAGTGTAACACGCTACATTCCCTTCGTGACTGGAATTCCAGTTGTCAAACTTAAAAAGAGGGTTGTTTAACATACATCGGTGTATCGAACACTTAATAAATGGAACGCCATCACATAGTTACAGTACATGGATAATCCTGCATTCTTTATACTTGTAAAAATGGGCCCTGTATGATGATTCTTGACAATGTTGTGGTACAACACATTTACACTCCCCTCCATAAGTTTGGCAATACACTCCCCTCCATAAGTTTCACAATACACTCCCCTCCATAAGTTTGGAAACCGGAAGTTATCGTCTGATGCCATATCAAAGCCTCTCATTTTTTGATCTAAATATTTGAATTAATTGCAATGATTTATAAAATATTATTTGGATGATTTTTTTATAAATTGGAAAACATAGACACGTTTTGTTAAGTAATCGGAAACGATATTTCCGTTTGCAAAACTTATAAAGGGAGTGTACTCTTTTGAAGTGAATATAATATTTAGATAAAACAAGTACATACTTATAACTAGTAGAGTTCTGAATAACAACCTTCCTTTTTGTAAATGCCATTCTATATGTCGATCGAAACTATTTTAGTCAATTAGATTTTTTGTATTTGTGTATTCTATTGAAATAAATAAATAAAAAAAATCAATTAGATATTTTAGAATGATATCAAGTATATGTGTAATGTGTGATTTTAGTTATTTCAATATTTTCTTAATTGAGAAAACATAAACTAATTTATGTTTTTTCTTAATTTCCTTCCAGCTCCACACACAATGGTCTCTACATATACCAACGCCAGGATAGAGAAAAGCCGGGGAATATTCCTAATAGCCAAGGTAATTAGATAATACGTTTTTACATTATATTGGAATATAAGGAACGATATGCCTTCTTAAGCAATTATCCGTTCTTTTTTACTTAAAAAGGGCCCATCGATATGGAATTCTGATGAGCAAGAATAGCTTATATAAACAGTTTTTCAGATTACGTCTAAATACAGCTGTAATTGAACTGTGCCTGCAAGTACAGTTACACATTCCGTATTTTAGATAAACGGTTTGTTCTCGATTTTAATGGGTGATATTAACTAAAATTACTGATTTATCACCTTTTTCAAATTACTTCTAGATTAGTGTGTAGATCTACTCCTGATAGTGCCGTTACACATTCCGCATTTTAGATAAACGGTTTGTCCTCGACTTTGATGGGCCGTTATTAACTAAAGTCATTATGTTTAACGCCTCTTTCAAATTACATCAGAATTAATGTATAGAACTACACCTGCTTGTGTCATTACACATTCCACATATTAGAGAAACAGTTTGTTCTCGATTCCGATGGGTCGTAAATTAATTACCTTAAGTCATCAGGTGCAAAACTGAATTATATAGCAAACGAAGTGATAGGCGGAGTCTTAGAATTCATTTACTATGTAGTAGGAAACTTTTTGTTGACGTTGATTGCTCTATGTATAAGATGTTTCATTTGTATTTGTATTTGTAATCCCCTCTAAAAGTATATATGTACCAGCATTGGCACCCTATCATGTTATTTATCATATGTTTCCTCGTGGAAAGTTCCATAGGTATGCAAAGTTTCAGAATAAAGGGGTGTCCTTGAAAAAAGATAAAAGTATGTGGGTAAGGGGTCATTTGGGGGCAGTTTCCGATCATTTTTAGGGTAATTTAAGGGACAAATCTAGTTTCCAAAGTTTTTCACAGGGATTTATTGACAGTATCCGTACAGTTGCCAGTCACCCTGAGCCACCTTTCACTAAAAAATGTTAACGGACAAAGTGAAAAGCTAGATCAACGGACTGGATCCAAAAAAGCTTACAAAAATGCTTATAAACTACCCCGTACGCGCATACTTTGATACATTGTATCTTTTTTCATAGACATCCCTTGATTTAGAAACCTTGTAGGTAACCTTGATGATATCCGTTTTTGCATTTTGTGGTGGGGGGATGGAAAGTAAACTTGGAAAACATCCAAACATAATATATATCCAAAGCACAATATACAATGCCTAAGTAGGTCTATAAATAATTTTTCCCCACACTTAGACGTATTTAAGATTTGTATATAATAATTGAATTTTTTTTTTTAATTTAGCCGTCCAGTTTCAAATGTGTATACAGAACCGATACAAACTCAACAAGAAGTATCGGAAATGGTTGGAAAGCAGTCAGAATGACCCAGACAATCTGGACACCAAAGCCTACCTATCACAATCAAAGGTAAATTAAAAATCTTTATATCGTCTTCCCGATTTATTCGATTGAAATTGGCTTAATCTGTGTAATCAATTCTTACACTCCCCACATACGTATACATAACTGGAAGTTTTCCATTAGACAATGTGTTAAAGCCTTCTGATGCTTGACGAATTACAAAAATAACAATCGTTCTTATTTTCAAAGTAATTCAGAAAAATAATAACCTTTCAAACATGATATGGTGTTAAAACATTATTGAATTCTTATATGTACTGACTGCCACACTTTTGGAGGGGGTGTAGAGACAATTGGTTACTCAAATAAAGATTTGAACATAACACACTTGAGAAAATTAGTTTTTATTGTCAAATATCCAATTTGTATTGGATGCTAAACAAACTCTACGAGGGGCATGCAAAATGTTTCCCCATGTCTTTGTGAGCTTTCACATTCAAAACAAATCAGATAACGTTGAACAGAGAATATCACATTGTATCAAAACATGAAAATCGTTACTAAAAACCATAATAGATGTTCATCGAGGATTTAAAATCTCCCAAGTCAAAATAATTATTAGCGAAACGTTTGGAATGCCCCTTTACTTAATTATATAATAACAAAACTGTTATCAATAATTCCCTCTTTAGTGATATAATGTTTTATATGAGATATTGTCTTCTATCTTTACGATTGCTTTCATTGTAGTTGTCCGCACAAGCAGAAAACGATGATAATATTGCAGAACAACGGCGTCAACAGGGCAAACGAGTACGATATGGGGAAATAATTCAGGTATTGTAACCTATAAATGAACCCCTTTCAATAGTTGTGTTTGGTTCCTAAGGGAGAGCTCCATATACATTCGTTATGTAATAGACAGTGATTCGATGCACATCCGAAATAGGAGGTTCGGAGTTGGGAAAATTAAAGAATTACTTTAGTTTAAACATAATAAAAATTAAAAGAAGGTAACTATTAACTATCAAGTACATTTCCTGGCACGTAAATGTTTGTTTTCTCAGCCTAAACATTTGCCTTTGTGGTTGGGGGGGGGTGAATCACAAATTCACAATCTCCAAATGTGAAGATAAAAAACTGATACATTAGCATGTCGACACGCAACCTAGAAGTGTTACCATCAAGTAATATAACTAATGTAGACATTTAGTAATCAATCTACCTAATGCGGGGTACACGCACCACCGCGTTGGGTCTTGTAGGAATTCTAGGTATTGTTTTGTAGAATTGCATAATTATCGAGGGGAAAGAGGACACAAATATCGACCAGTAATGTGCAAACAAACGCCCTGTAATTTCCCGGAAATAATAATTTGAAAAGAATGCCTTTATTTGAGTTTTGATAACCAGTAAATACATAAGAGGCCATGTCATTTGGCATTCCATTTTCGTCATTCTCTTCAACTGCACATTTTTAACGAGTCATATTTGATTTTCGCAATTCTAGAATTTTCGTCACTTTGATTATATAACTTCCTTTTTGTATTAAAGGTCCTTTAACAAACCCCTCAAAAATTTTGGTATCACGCGTTCCTAATTGGAGGTACTCAAATCACCTTGTAGCTGGTCGTCTAACATAAGAGGTTTTGTCGCCAAACGTATGAAGAGGGTGTATGGGTTGCAGCGGCTGTGAATTTATGATCAGTGTCTCTTACCTCGTAATTATTTGTTTGGATAAGCGATCAGTTCTTAAACAAATTTCTCGAGTGTACGTCATTTAGTTATTCTAGCAATATCGAAGGGACTTAATGGTATACACTCTCAAGCAAACGCAGTTAATATAACAATTATATGTTCGATAAAATCATTTGTGAAATATTCCGTTGATCGAAATAGAGCATTTATGTTCTTTTCGACGAAATAATTGATTTGTTGTAAAAACATTTACAATTCTCTTACCAAAAATGTTAAAGCCCTGAATGGATAAAATTGATGAAAAATATCGAATTTTATGTAATCAATTCATCATCTTCGTGGAAATCTTGAATGATCGGACTCTGGATGTGGTTGCCGGTCTCGAAATGTGAAACCCCCAATATAGTAACCTAATATACCCTGCCTGGTAATATTACAGAAGTTCTATGTTCCTGGTTTATCTTAAAGAAACATACTCGCCAGGTTTTAAGTAGCAGTAACAATAAAAGGGTGTGAAATGTTGACCGCAATAATCAAAACAAAACACATGATGACACGCCTAACCATCGACGATGTACAGTGACATGTTTATGGTATATGGGTGCACACTTTCCGTTACGTTACGCTGTACGTTAATTGTCATATGTGAATCAAAAGTGTTGTGTAGGTTTTATAAGATTTATCTAAGGAACATGCTGAGGTATTTTATGTTTAATTCATGTGCATGCTCTTGAAAGACTTCATACACGCGTATATTTTGTCACTGTACGTTGTCGATGGTTTGGCGTGAATGATAAATATCGCACTTTGAAGAGCTAAAACATATGAAGTGTACTTTAGCCAGAATACAAAAAATCAGATAGAAACATTCGTCTGCTCTTACATCTGTAAAAATCAAGTTGAACAAAAATGCGTTTTCCCTGGAACTTAATGGATTCGGATAAAATAACTCCTGTAAATTAGGAAACTGTGCGTTTATATATCATGGAACGTCCAACTTCGTAAAAGTAAAAGAGGGGTAACCAACACTGTTTAATTCTTCAAACCATGCCCTTTTTCAATGTGTAACAAACATGAGATGGTCCATCGAACTCTGCCAACTCAGCCAGCTCACAGTTTTTTTTCATTTTACCAATAAATGTGACTAAAAAAATATCTTTTTTTTTCAGCTCAAACATATGTTCACGGGGAAATTTATCCACGTGAGCACCACTCAAACCAGTAGACGGGACAAAAACAACATGATGGTCCACCTACAAGACTTTAATGCCAAAAATGCTCAATTTAGAATTCTTCCCCGATACAAAGTCAAGTCAGAGGGTGAAGTTGTAAGTACATTTTGAAAAATCTCAGTGAATAATATTAAAAACATATGGTAAAAGTTGCCCTAAATTGCAAACTATAGCTAAAAACATGATACTAATTCGGAAAGCTAATGACCTTATTTTATATTTGGCAAGGACATATATCTAATTGTTTTAAAATGTTTTCCAGTCGCAGTTGATGAAGTAAAACATTAAAGGATGTGCATTGTACAATAAAAAAGTTATTATTTTCTTCAATCCATTTGTAATTTTAGAAAATTGACCAACTTGGTGAAAGATTTAAAAATGGTTATTTGGCGGTTCCAACAGTCTACCTTCAATATGCCTGGACCCTACGTACATAATTTACAACTCCAGCAACTGGAAAATGTACAATGAACTTTTCTGTGAATCTAACAATATGTTCAACATGTCCTTTTTTCAGATACAAATATACGACCAAATTGTTTTTGAAAGTGTCAAATCACCAGGGCAGTTCTTCCACGCTAGTGCACCGTGGAGAATTGATCACTATAGCTACGGGTAGGTAGATGTTTTACTTTAGCTTGTCTTGGTATTTGCCCTTGTTTGGTCCACAGTACGTTACCATGTGCACCCACAACTACTGTACACGTTAACCTTTGTTCACCATGGCAACCGCATTTGCTCACAATAGCGACAACCTTACCTTTGTTCCCTATGGCGCCTACACCATTTCAACCTCCTTTTATTGCTTTGTGATATGTTCAGCTAAAATATAGTTTAATTTGACAATTGCCTGAAAAATAAATACCCCTTTTATTTTCAAAGCCTGACATAATCAAACCAACATTTTATTTATCGAAGTTTTACATCTATTGTCTAACCTGCTTTTGAAATGTGTAATGCTCAGATCGTAATAATATCAAGAGATTTAAAATCAAGATAAGTATCTCATAGAATTCCATTACTATTACAAATATGACATTTTCATTCTGAAATTATGAGGATTTGGAAATAAAAAAAGTATTAGTTTGAGCCGATTTGAAAAAAGTCACGTGAAATCTAAGAAATGACTGCTAACTTTAAACGCTATTACAAATGAACCCAAAGTTTTATGTCTGATGGTTATTGAACCAAATGATCAGTTCGCATGGTGTCAGATTAATGGATTCAGTCGTCAGAGGATAGAACTATCTATCAAGATCTCGTAAGCTTTAGGATAAAAGCTGAAAAGCACTGACGGAAAAGAACTAGGGACTCAAGTCTGAGAATTCACAGATATTCCAACGGAAAATTCCCAAAAACTGTCGTACAACGTCACACGTGAACTTCTCGTGATAGAACTTCGCGGAGAGGAAGTGAACAGTGAATTTTATGCTTCGCGGATCACTGGATTTACATTTTGGAAACAGTTTACAGTTTAGCGGTGATATATTGCATTGCAAGTAGACTATATGACTATACTACATTTATGTACAACTGTATTGTTAATATTTCTAGTGATCATGGCTAAGTTTTCACCACCTTCAGAATTTAAGTTCGACAGACCAGCAGAATGGCCAGCTTGGAGAGATAGATTCATAACATTCCGCCAAGCTTCAAAACTCCAGAAAGAGGATGAGGTAACACAAATTGCTCAATTATTATACACTATGGGGCCACAAGCAAATATTATTTACAAATCGTTTCAATTTGCTGAACCTGTAGAGCCTGTTGAGGGTGCGGAAGCAGCACAGCCTCAAGGTGATTTACGCACATATGATAATGTTTTGAAGCGGTTTAATGACTACTTTATACCCAAGGTGAACGTGATACATGAACGCAAAACATTCGGATTGTGCTCTTGGGATAGGAATAATGAAAGCATTGAAACATTCATTGAGAGCTTGTATGAACTAAGCGAGCACTGTGAATATGAAAACAGAGATGAACAGATTAGGGATAGGATAATTCTGAATGTTGAAGATGAATTTCTCTCGGAGAAACTGCAGACATTGGCGATGGATAACCCCCTGACTCTCTCAAGAACAATTGAAATAGTTCGTTCTCATGAATTGATTAAGGGACAATCCAAGAAACCTACTCCTGAAAATAATGTAGACCGTCTCAGCTATGGCAGCCGTAGGAGCAGAGCCAAGCCAAGGTCCAATCAGAAACAGTCAACAAACAATGATGACAAATCAAGATCATCAAAGAAATGTTCCAGATGCGGCTACAATCATTATGATGGAAAATCTTGCCCAGCACAAGGCAAAATCTGTAATAAGTGCAAAAAGAAAAATCATTTTTCTTCAGTGTGTAAAAGCAAAAGCAGCCATGTTCAAGGTGTCAGTGTTGAAGCTTACGATGTAGATCAGTCTGAGCATGATGATTCTTCTGAATTTTTCATTGGAGAAATATCTGATAATTCACATATGCAAAGTCATGAGCCTCCTTGGCGTGTTCAACTTCCAATACATGATCGTAAGTTAAGCTTCAAGATCGACACCGGGGCTGATATAAATGTAATATCAAATGATTCATATGAGAGGTTGTCTCCAAGGCCAAAGTTGACCAAGTTCAACGGCATAATAAAGACTGTGGGAGGTAGTGTGTCTTCAAAGGGATCCTTTATAGCTAAAAGCTCTTTAAATGGTAAAAGGTTCTCTATGAGGCTGTACGTGGTTGATCGAAAGTCAGATAATCTTTTGAGCAGAAATTCGTCAAAGAATTTGAATCTGATTCAGTTTAATGAAGCCCAAGGCAATATTGAACAAAGTCACACTCCCAGTAACACAGTGTCAAATCTCAATGTATCTGACAGAGCTCAACCAGGTACTATATCTAGTAACAAAGTTACTCAAAGTATACATGATATTGATAAGGTTACTCAGGGTACACAAAGGTCAGGTCACAATGATATTGATAAGATTATCCATGACCCAGATTTATATGGTGAGGTTGGCAATATGAAATGTCCCCCAGTGAAAATAAAAATCAAAGATGATGCTACCCCATATAGTATAAATGTGCCACGACGCGTACCATTTCCATTGATGAAAAAATTACGCGAAACTCTTGACCTAATGAAAAAACTTGAAATCATTGCCCCAGTGCGAGAACCAACAGAATGGTGTTCACCAATGGTTCCGGTACTTTCTAAGTCAGGTAAGCTCCGGATAACAGTCGACTATAGACGGCTTAATGAATCAATATGTCGCGAAAGATATATGCTACCTACAGTAGACACTATTCTGCAGAAGTTAACAGGTAGTAAAGTATTTACTTCATTAGACGCGACCAGCGGCTTCTATCAGATGCCCTTGTCTGAAGAGAGCCAATACTTGACAACTTTTATCACGCCATACGGTAGGTACGTTTTCAGAAAGCTACCTCAGGGAATTTCGATCGCTCCGGAAATTTTTCAGAGAGAGATGTCAAATATTCTGGATGGTATCCCAGGCGTTGCCGTTTTCATGGACGATATAATTGTCCATGGTGATTCTGAAAAATCGCACAATGAAAACCTTGAGAAAGTTCTAAAGAGACTAAAATCGCGAGGAGTCAAACTCAATAAGAACAAATGTAACTTCAAGAAAACGGAATTAGCTTTTCTAGGCTACCGTGTTTCAGATCGAGGCATCAAGCCCGATCCAGACAAAGTTGAAGCTATTTTGCAAATGGAAGCGCCTGCGAATGTCGAGCAATTGCGCCGGTTTTTAGGCATGGTGAACTGGCTTTGCCGCTTTGTACCAAACTTGTCAACCATTCTAAGTCCATTGAATATGCTTCTCCGGAAAGAGTCAGCCTGGACTTGGGATGAAGCTCAGATGAGTGCTTTCAACTTGATAAAGGAGAAAGTAAGTAGCTCACCAACTTTGAAATTTTACGATATCTCCAAAGAAACGAGAGTCTCTGCAGATTCTAGTTCCTTTGGACTCGGAGGTGTTTTGGAACAGAAACATAAAGACGAGTGGTTTCCTGTACATTATTGTTCCCGGACACTCAATAATGCAGAGAAACACTATGCCCAAATTGAAAAAGAATTATTGGCTAGTACGTGGGCCTGTGAAAAGTTTAGTCAGTATCTAGTCGGGTTAGAGTCATTTAGGCTAATAACTGATCATAAACCTCTAGTTCCCTTGATAAACCAAAAGAGTCTTGATCAAGCCCCCATTAGATGCCAGCGTTTACTCATTCGCTTGATGAGATTCAACTGCAAAGCTGAGTATAGACCAGGGAAGACTCTTATCATATCTGATACACTGTCCAGAGCCCCAGTAACATCCACCATAAATGAAACAGTGGATAGCGTAGCCCAACATGAAGATTTTGTCATTGAAAATTTGCCTGTTTCAAAGTCACGCTTAGACAAAATACGCGATGCTTCACAGGTAGATAAACAAATCTCAACAGTCATAGAATATGTTATTGAAGGTTGGCCAACATACTACAAAGATGTTGACAATGAAGCAAAGCAATTTTATGACTTAAAAGGAAGTCTCAGTGTTGTGAGTGGTATTTTAATGTACGAAAATCGTATCGTGATTCCGATGTCAATGAGAAATAACATACTCGATACCATACATGAAGGTCATTTTGGTGTAGAGAAATGTCGCGAGCGAGCGAATACATCCGTATTTTGGCCCGGCATTACCAAACAGATCAAAGAATTAGTAGAAAATTGTTCTCACTGCCAAGAGAAGAAAGCTACAAATCGTTCTGAACCGATGATTAGTTCCATATTACCAGATAGACCTTGGCAGAAAATAGCGACAGACCTATTTGAAGCTGCAAAGAAGCATTATATGGTAGTCGTAGATTATTATTCTCGTTATTTAGAGATAGCACATCTTGCCCGAAATACCACCTGCGAGCAAGTTATAAAGAAATTGAAAGAAATCTTTTCCCGCAATGGAATACCCGAGGTAGTATATTCTGACAACGGTCCTCAGTTCTCATCGAAGCTTTTCAAAGATTTCGCGCGAGAATATGATTTCCGTCATGTAACCTCGAGTCCTAGATATCCTCAGTCAAACGGTCTTGCGGAGAAATTTGTCCAAACAGCAAAGCGTATGTTGTTAACGGAAGATCCGTTGTCAGCGATTATGAACTATCGTGCAACTCCTACTTCCATGACCGGATCAAGTCCTTCTCAATTATTGTTCGGTAGACAGATTAGAACAAAGTTGCCAACAAGTCCTGAAAACTTAAAGCCTAACTGGCCCAGTGAAAGTAAAACTAAGTCTAATGATTTGAATGCCAAAGTTAAACAGGAAAGGTATTTCAATAAATCCCATGGGGCCAGAAACCTGAGTAAGTTAGCACCAGGCCAGTCGGTGAGAGTTAAGCTTGATAATGATAAATCTTGGAGTGATCCTTATCCAGTACATACATCCGGGTTATGGAGAGGGAGAATAAACGCCATTACAAATGAACCCAAAGTTTTATGTCTGATGGTTATTGAACCAAATGATCAGTTCGCAGTAATGAACCCCAAAAAGTTTAAAAAGCCTCACCTATTTACATTTGCCTCAGCTTTTTTCACCTCACCTTCACTCCCAATTATGCTAAGTATCTCGATATTTGACAGTTATTGCACACTCATCACTCTATTACACTAAACTAGACTACACTACACCACAACGCCCTTTATTTATTCATTATTTACCAGCTATCATTGCTCGTCAAAATAACTCTCATCACAACTTATTATGTTTCGTCTACACAAATTGATAATATCCATGACAACATGATTCATAATCTTCAATTAGAAGTCATATAACATTGCTTTGCATATAATAATTTGTCCCAGCACGCTTTTTAGAATAATTCGTTCCAAAAGACAAAGTAACGCAATGAATAATTGACAGAATGATCGTGCAATTAGAGTTTATTACACCAGTTTTATTGTTTTTTCGGAGTTAAAAGAATTAGAAGAGATAGAGTATGGAAATGGAAGAATTCCCAATGAAATATATATCGAAGATTTAAAATGAACTTTCAAATGCATTAGAATTGACTTTCAAATGCATTAGAATTGAAGAAGAAAGTCTAGCTAAAGAATTTAGAGACTATACTGATAAAATAAGAATTGTCGACTTTTTTAGAAAAAAAGACTTAACGAGTTAATTAAAAAACTCTGTCTCTTCTGCTCCATTTAATGATTATCAACATAAAATAACACTGTTTAGCTAATAATTATGTAACTTTGAGAGGTGAATGATAGATCGCATATATTTAAATTTCCAATGGATCTATATTACTATTATTTTTCAATTTTATCAGAGAACATTTCGAGTATCTCACGTGAGTTCTGAATGTGTGTTTTTTGGATTGCTCCATTTTTGAGTTCCGTCATGATTTTAGACGTGAAATGGTAAAAAGTGATAATAAAACAGCTACTATAAATGATTACTTTCGTTAAATGTTTAAGGATGTTCCCTGGGCTAAGTTTATAAAATAATCAATGTTCAAAAAAAATGTTGATAGAACATCTTACATGGGTTTCAATACAGATGCGACATGCAGGCTACTGCTTACACATTACTGTAATTTTCACTGTTTATAAATGTAAAGGTTTGGGGAACATTCTCATTCTGAAGTAAATTTCGATTCAACTTCCTTAATTTATAATAATTATGAAGATGAGTATTTTACTAGACGGGTATTTGTTGTTGTTGTTTGAGACTTTATTGGCACTGTAATCAACCTCTGTTACCGACTATTTGTTCACGTGATCCTTTATGACGTCATTTTATGCATATGTTACACCTATGTCTTATCAATATCTTGAATTCGCATTCTCCCGATGCAGGACCCCATATCAATTTTTCATATGTATGTCCTTTCAGAGTAACTTTCTGTGTCACATGTTTTTTGAGAGATGTGAACCTGCTAGATCGTATGTGTTTTGTCAAATATGTTCGTCATTTGAACGAGTATACTCGTCAGCAGGCTTCATAGCTAAGCCAGTTTTACGAGTCTACTCGACAGCAGCCTGATGAGAAATAAAAGGGTTAGAAGAAAATGGTTTGATCAGTGACTTAATGAGGTGGGTATGTGAAACAGTCATTTAATCTGAAAGGACCTTTCCTTTGTCAAAACTCCCGTGACAGTGGAAGGCATGAACATACCACTGAAACAGGCAAATCTAATTTTTTGGGGCCCGTTTGATAATTCTCAAATATTATCATTTCGCCAACTGCTCGGGGGTATGTCAAAGCATTATACTCTCACGAGAGACTGGAAAGTTATGCATAAGTCTGGGAGCCGTGCGTTTGGAGAATGTATATCCTATGTTGTGTTGTATTTGAATTAAGGATGCTTCCGCCACCTAAAGAGCAGCGAGTTGGAAAGGACCATTATTTCATGAGGTGAGCTTATTCATTGCATTTGACCTACCTTAAATTCAAAACCCCCAAACATTCACATTGTTTCATTGAGGTGGTCATGGTAAAACAAATTCCGAGCCCATTCGGACATTACACCACTTTGCGTCTATAGGCATAAGAATAGTTTGTGAAGTCACCGATATCTTTCTCAGATTGTATTCAATAAATGTGACGTCTCTCTATAAGTAGATTTATCAATATATTCTCATTTATCGACCAATGTCTCAATTCAAGCTTATTTTTGCCGAATTAATCAAATGTTCTACCTTAAGCATTTAACTAAGAGACATGAATATAACTTTTCTCGAAAGTGAGCACAATTGTTATTTTATGCCTCATTTAGCATTCTATCTAATTAACAAACAATATACCGATGTCTTTTATGAAGTTGTTTCGTCTTTTGTAATACCTATTTCAGATTCGAATGCTACATTATAAGGTTCGTTCAAAGCTGCAACAATCCTTATTCTGTGATAACATTTTTTGTACGTCAAAAAGAACCAGCCCTTCTCTGTTTTTTAAAATGCTTTCTAAAGATTTTAACAACTACATAGTTTGCTTCCTTAAGCTTATAATATTCAACTTCCACATTTCATTGTTCTTTATTTGGTTAGAAATTCTTCAACATTATTGTTTGATTGCATTCGTGTTTTTCATTGACATTATATTGCATTGACTGCCATTGTATTGTATTGCACAATTTCTTTGTTGTCGTTTTCTTGTTATCAAATAAGGTATAATGTTAAAGATGTGTAACATTACTACAGGCGAACTAATATATTTGTTGGGTATTTTATTGTTTTGTTAACCTTTAGGTCTGAGTTGAACCTTGGTGTTGAACAGACAGGGTTCACCCTCGTCAAGTGCGGCAAACCGTCCGAAGAAGATGAGAAATTTCTAAAGGTACCTGCCAATCGATAATTTGCTATGTTGTTTTGAAATATCGGTGAAGTCTTCTTTGCATGTTTAATATATATCAAGAAAATAGATGAGTTTTGCCAGGTTTCCGATTTGTAAATGCTGTTATATAGCCTTACCAAAACTTTAAAACAAAATTTTAACAAATGGTCACTCGAGAATGGACAGTTGGCCATTGGGTCATATATTACAGTTTCGTGTACATCTTAAAAACGTATCTGAACCTCCCTGCACTCTACTTCTACGTGCTACCACGTTTGCACTACATTTATTATTTAGGGAGGCTGTGCACTGCGGATGTTTCACAAAGAATTGGAAGCGTACGTTGTAGCAGAGGGCCTTTTTGATGAAGAAGTCAATGAAGATGGTATGTGTGTTAACCTCGTCACCAAGAAGTGGTGACGTATTTTTAACTTGAAATAGTTTGCGAGATTTGGATATATTACATCTATAACATTGGAAACCATACGTTATCTTGGCAAGACGTCGTGTACTTTTCGTTCTGAATTCCACGTTTACATGTAAAACTGTTTCAAAGAATATTCTTTTCGATTTCAGTTCATCTCAGAATACGAGAGATCGACCAGCTTGTTCCAAAAACCTTGTATCCTTCTAGTTCTGGCATTACATACTGGCAAGTTGAAGCTGAGCAGAGTATACTCAAAGGTAAGCATACATTACTCAAAGGTATGCACACATTACTCAAAGTTAAGCACACATTATTCAAAGGTAAGCACACATTACTCAAAGGAAAGCACATATTTCTCAAATGTAAGCACGCATTACTCAAAAGTCAGCACACATTACTCAAAGGTAAACACACATTACTCAAAGGTAAGCACACATTACTCAAAGGTAAGCACACATTACTCAAAGATAAGCACATATTACTCAAAGGTAAGCACACATTACTCAAAAGTAAGCATACAGTGTTTAAAGGTAGGCACATATTACTCAAAGGTAAGTACACATTTCTCCAAGGTAAGCACACATTTTCAAAGGTAAGCACATCTTACTCAAAGGTAAGCACACATTACTCAAAGGTAATCACATTACAATCTCCTCTCCGTGAATTTCGCAACCAGAAGTTACGTTTTGGAACAATCATCTCAACCTGTTGAAAAATGCATCGAATTGGTCATAAACAAAACGATTGCAATTAACAAAGGAACACTATTCAGATCAAAAAATTGTCATGTAGTGTTTTACACATACATGTCATAGCTTACTAAACCGTATATATTTCATTTTACAAAACTTTTTTTGCTAAAACAAGCACGTGAGTACAATGGGACAGTTCTATTGTTTGATTTTTTGATACAGTTTCTGCTTGTGATCTTTATATGGCGCATCATAAGGTCGGTTCAGTTAAGATAATTTCAAACTTATATTTTGTTATTTTGTAGGTGATGTCTTAAGGTGGGAGCAGCAGATTAGATTTCGTCATATGACAACGCGGCAATACTTAAGCATTACTCCTGATCTCAAAGTATCACTAGTGACAGAATCAAATGACCCTAAAACAGTATTCAGGCTTCACCCAGTCATAAAGGTATGCTATGCAATATATTGTGTTATAATATGCAACATTTTGCAGTTGTAGGTTGCAGAAGATGTTCTTATGGTATTTTTTTTTATTTTATTGTATATTATGATCTCCAATATTTATGGTTACGATTTCTCACATTATACAATGTAAATAAGATGATCTTTTTTCAAATGGAGAACAATTCCCAAAATGTAAATAACATATGAAACAGCAAGTTAAGTGCTATGATTCAGGGGCTCATCGCTTAACCCAGAGGGTGCTGCCTTGTTTGAAAAAGTAGCTCTTACTTGGGCCTTTTGTTAATTATATCATACTGCTTCTTTGTGTAATTTATGCTCCTTTGTGCATCCTTATCTAAATCACAATATGAGGATGTATATTGAGAAATAATGTCGCCATTAGGTAAATGTTAGTGGTATATCTTTAAATTATGTCAAACTATTTTGAACTCTATTTATTGTAGGAAACAGATGATATATTATTTGAAAGCTATGCAAGAATAGAGCACGTTCTAAGTGGCTCTTGGCTTCACGCCCATAAAGGTGAATATTTAGTGCGTTCTTCGATCCTCTAGATTTATATGTTGGCACATCTGAACACATTTTTATGAGATGGTTTGATTGAATAGATGAAACTAAAAATAAATGATAAAAAACTGCTCTAGTGATTTAGTTTACTAGTACATGCAGTACATTACTAGTACTATACTAGTATATTATCGTGATGGAGAGTTTCTCTTACTTTGACCTCGAATTGTTTGAATAGACATGTGGTTTGGTTATCCTTTAAAAAATCACGACCGGAAGTAACATATCGACTACTTGTCAAGACACAGAAGGATTTAACACGAGGGGTATTCCTCTTTCAAAACTTATGGAGGGCTGTTAATCTCACATTTCTTGTTTTAAGATGAAGTATACACGCGGCGGCAGTTTCAAGGACACGATGAGGACTACAATTCTATGACAGGTCTACGATGGGATGGGGCGGAGTTACGGCAGGTAGGTTAAAGTCATAACTGCAACAACTAATTAAAAACAGTTTTAATGTGATGTGCATGTGTTTTAGCATAGTGTCCATGTTATCTTCACAGTAAGAATATGTACTGTCAAGAGGGGGAAATCTAAAAATAATCATAAAACAATCAGTTTCTAGTACTGTAATTACCACGTTTGAGTCGATGATTGGGGTGACTTATCCCTTCGATCGCTATCTCGGGATAAGATACTCAACAAGTTATACAGGGTATCCATATTAAAATAAACCCCACTTCGACTTATTCGACAACCTGGGATTTATGTTACTCTTATACAGAGAGGATATCCTTTGATTTTTGAAGGATACCATTTTTATCCATGAGTATATATCGCCTATCCTCACTAGTAAGCAATCATCTTTTGTCGTTATCCCCATATATATTTTATATCCATCGGATAAATTTAGATATCTGCAAGTGGGGAACGTATGTACGATGATGCCTATACGCTTCAACGAGTTGAAGACACACACCTTCATACATTCAACGTGGTGGCTGGCATGGTTCCGTTCCTTAGAAATCTTATACAAGATGTAAGTGCAAAATTCTGTACTCTATTATCAACAAGGGCTAAGGCGCCAGGCATGTTCAGGCTAGGCGATTGGGCGCCGTAACCACGAGGTTGCGAGCTCGAAACGCGGTGTGCTCTGTGCGTTTATTCATCAAAGTACATTCATATCAAAATGTTGGAAAACGGAAGAAACCAACAAAGCCAGAATTATTAAAAGAAAAAGTGACAAATCTTGTCAAATACCTTATCTCATGCAACCATTCATGTTATTATGTAACAAATGTATTTTGTAACAATTATTGTTTCCCCGTATGCTTGACAAATCGATAGCATGCATCATTCATGCTAATGATGCATTTATCATTCGTTTTATTTCCCATTGGCAAATGTAAAATGTCTAACACCCTAATTCAAAATTAATTTACGTTAGCTTCCACGATTCATCGATTTGCGAAACATAAATCGGGCTTTTGTTTTTATATGTTTGATTTTTTTCAGCGAAAAGATGGCAAAATACTCAATGCAAGGAAAACACACAGGATATGCACAGTAAGAAAGTTGATCATTTGCATTGGAAATCATTATGCGTTGTCATTGTGACTACATAGGGATAGAGTTCTTAAATTTGAAACAACAAAGAAATACAAATGTGCACTGCGTGGGGTTCGAACCTCTGAACCGGTGCCTTGATCTCAATATACCCAAAGATGACTCGACAATATCACATACGTCTCACATTGTGCTAAAACTATACTTTTTACGGAAACCAGTGCCGTATTCGTACTTCTAAAATATCCAGGGCCAAATAGAATTGTTATTGTTTCAATTGTAATATTTTGGTTGAGGAATAAAAAAGCAATGACAGTGTAATCTACGAGCATAAATCTATATTATATTACTTCACTTTTATTGTTAAATACTTTATATAATGCAGTCCAATTTAATATGTAGCGTGTTCCAAATAATAATGTTGTTTTAGAGTAATAATTATGGAATAAATACTTCACCCCTATAGGCACTGAATGAGTTAAAGCAGTTCATGATTGTCAACGGCGTCCCCACCAAAGTGAGACAAAAGCTAATGAGGAACCTCAAGGTTAGTGCTTTTTAAAGTTATGTCAAATATACCCCCTCCAAAAGTTTGGCATCCGGAACGACTTCAATATGATCACGTATTAAACCATGTTTATTTTGGTCTTCCTTGATAGGTTCTTCTGGTGTCTTTACATTGACATTTCTGAGGTAGTCTTATCTGAAAATGAAATGGAAATGAACTAACTTTTGCATATAACTTTACTTTCCTATGTCGAGATAAACTTCAAATTCACAGAAGGTTGACTTTTAGAGTTACATCCAACAAAATAGAGATATAAGGGCTCATTCCAGATACAATAACAGACTACACACCACGCAGTCAATAGTCGAAACAATTGACTGCAATCAAACCAATCATAATGAAACATTTAGAATAGGATACACATTATTTTCCTTTTATTTTTTATTTTAGATTATTGACCTGCTTGTGCAACTGGTTAAGTGCAACCTAAAGGGTGTCGCTGACCAAGTCCACCTAACAGACGTGTTTAAGGGAGCGTACGAGGTCCTATATACCTACATGATAGGAAACAGTAGGAAGAATGCACTCTACTTCGCCAAGTACATCGACTTCTTTCAAACACAATTCAGCATCAAGGTTAGCTAATTTTGATTTATTTTAACCTTGAAATAATTGACAATGAACATGTCATGTGCATTGTTGCTCATTAACATCTTTGGAATTGTGGGCACTTAACCTCTTGAATACCCAGAGTGACGGATATATCCGTCACAAATGAAATAAGACTGGTGCCCAGAGGGACGAGAAAATCCGTCACAAAATTTTTCACAAAAATTGCTCTCATTTGAACAATTTTCATCCAATTTACACAAAATTGTTTTAAAACGTGTAGAAATGATCTCTGCCGTCCAATTTTACTAAGCTGAGCATCTAAAGTTGTATGGGTATGTAATAAAATGTCAAAATGTGGCAAAAAATGAAAAATTCTCTGGTTTCATGCCAATTTTAGAGCCTGGGATTCAAGAGGTTAAATCAGATGATTCAAAATTGTTAACATTAGTTTTGCTTCAAGATCATGTCTCCCCCCCCCCCGATCTTCTTCAAAACTTTTGGGAAGGTGTTTTCTGGGGTGGGGGCACAGGTGATTGTAGCTAGATCAGTAGCGTGTCTACATATTGTTGTAAAAATGCTATTTTAAATGTTACCTATGCAACCTTAGACAAAAATATTGCAAATGAACAGACTAAAACAGGATTACACATAGATTTGGTATAACTATATAATCGACGACCTACCATAATTCATTACACTCCAATCAACCATATCCTGAAACAAATATGCAATCTCAATTTAAACTGGTACTTATATTTACGACATATTATTTGCAGGGTGAGATAGGGTTGAATGTGGCACAGATGATTGTTGAACTCATTAGAGACAATAGGAAAATTGTGGACAGAATAACACATCAACAAATCGATGAATTTGTGGGTCTACTTAGAGAAAACAAGGTAAATTATGGAATAAGATTACAACCTGACCAATTCAAAACATACTTCTGCAGTCATCGTTTACTCTGTAGACAGAAATCCAGCTTGCCTCATTGAATAACCTTGACATTTTCGACATAAGATATCCCAATCTTCGTTTACAATCCATGAAAATTCCAAATGAAATGAGTGGTTAATAGTATCATTGACCTTGAACAACATATAAACATTGATTGTATTTCATAATTATTGTACTTAATTTATTGAACTTAGAATTATCGCTACCTAGACCTGTTGAGTGTCCTATGTGTGTGTGATGGAGTGGCGATTGCTGATAACCAGACGTATATCACTGAAAACTGGCTCAGAAAAGACTCGGTAGGGACCTACCTTAATTATCTTGAAATGAATGCTGCTTTACAATGCTGAAAAGCGATAGAGGAGCAACTTTTGTAACATATTATATTGCTACAAATAAATTGAGTAAATAAATAATAAAAAATCTTAAATTCTTATAATATTATTTATTGTACGTATGCCGTACACACCGCACCGTACTCATCGTACCGTGCACACCGTACCATACACCGTACTAATTTTGATACATTTTCGGTCCCTTATTTGTTGTATCCAATTGACCTACATATTTTAAAAACTTGAAATGTAAACTCCTGCAAATCCGAACACATTTCGCCGGTACACGAGGTGTTCGGATTAGACAGGTTTAACTGTAGTTCTGTATAAACGTGTGCTGTAAAATCACGTCTTCTTCATTGCAGAGCGGTGTGTTTCTTACAGAAAGAGGACAAAATCTGAAGAAACAGACAAACGTTGTGTTCCTTTCAACTGACCAAAGCAGGACTTGGGTGCCGCTGCATGAATTTGTAAATGTGAGTGAACTTGATTCGCAATGTATGATCGTTCGTATTTCATGTGTGAAGAAAGAAAATAACGAGAACACACGACTCTTTTTGGTTTTGCATTATATAGATGACTTGAATGTTCAATAGAGTTTAATAATTTTAGAGTTCTGCAATTGGTTTGATCTTTTTACAGAAAACAAGACCCGATTTCTCGGAAGAAAAATGCTTATTTCTGGAGCACCAACTGGACCTGTTTAGAAACCTGTGTTATGTGAGTGAATCATGGACGTTTACAATAAATTCTATGCAAAATAGATTAGATAAATTGGTCAGATCTACGATGCCAAGGTTATAGGTATCAATGTTGAATTGCATGATTTAAAAATATGACAAAACGAAATATTTTCTAAAGGAGGGTATAGTGTGACGATTATGATGCACAAAGTCATTATAAAACAAGCTGAAATAGTAGCTATCTAAATAAGCCAAATTTCCCCCTCTAATCGGCCTACCTGAAGTAATTTTATGTTGTGCATGTATACTTTGCTTTGACATATAGGGTCGAAATGAATATGCAGTTGAAACGATAACAAAAGAGTATAATTATCTAACGTGGGAAGAAGCATTCCTTTGCATCAGATTGGACCTCATACCAGACGCTTTGCGAGCAAAGTACTGCGATCTCATAATTTGTAAGTGTTGTCATATGTTAGGTTCTATTAAGTATATTTTAAAGTATTTTGTCTCGTTATGCGTATGCCTCATTCACATTTGATCTACGGCAACCATACGGCGGTCGTAGCTTTCCAAAATAGAAATATGCAGCATAGTATAGTATGGGGATTAGCAGGACGATGTAGATTTTCTATATACATTTTGTGAAGATACGGACGCCTTATGCCAACCGTAGATCAAATGTGACTAATATTTAATTCGTTAATGTATCATCATATGGATCTTAACATATGTTTATTGAATAATCTTTCTTTCATTTAATTAATTGTAAAAATGTTTTTAGGCCTGTTTGTTGACATAGGGAACAATCACTCAGTATTGGATCATACCAACAACTCTTTCGTCTATGACGAGATATATTCGAAGGCAGTTCCACAACAGGACTTCGTAAGTTAAACAGTTTACCTTAATAGACATTAAGAAATCATGGCCATTGTTAATGGTTTTAACTAGATTTGTAGGTGTCACCAATTAAATGGTATTCTAGAGTGAATTTTACTCTGACTTCACGCCAATTTTAAAAATCACAACAGTCTGCTACTTGAACCAATGATAGATTTCATACAAATCGTTATTTTTTCAAATAGTCTCCAATTTTGTGGACGGTGCTCGGCGGTCGGAAGAAGTCACGTTCTCCGTCTTTGATAAATGGCAAGTGGTGGCATTTTGAATGATAATGCCTTGTTTAATCTGTTATATTTACACTGATTTGTATGAAACTCTGTCGATGTTCGAGATTGTTATTTAGTTAGACACCAAATCCCCAACTTCAATATTGTTTTAACTTTGTCTTATGAATTGTCTTATTCAATTGTGTACTTACGTCGTTGTAAACTGTAGCTTGCTGGTTTATCCACGCTTAAGGTACTATCACGTCCACGTTAATTATATTTCATCGTTAATTGCACGTTACGCGTTTTAACGTACACATATGCTTTACTTAGTGTCAATTGTGAGACTCATGCTTTGATAATGATTCAATGAACAGTAATGCAACTTAGGTAGGTTGTTCTGTTGGAATATTTTAAAGTGCCCGATAAAGTATAAAATGCGCATGCGTCCAGGTGTTGATAAACTATAAATAGCGAAAATCCAGGGTTTGTCACCACAAGGTAAGCCAGGACGTGTTGAGAGAACAGCTAGTGTTGATATTGAATTTATATGTAGCCAGATAAGTTTCCTTATTGAAATTACATATGGTTATTAGCAATACTTTGTAGGTGCTAAATAATAAAATATTTAGAGTATATATGAGAGAAATTGGTCATTTCGAACTTGTTGAAAAGTTTGTGGCTCTCGACTACACCGGGGAATTTACTTCCATGAGTACACACATAAATGTGGGGTTCCCCAAGAGGTACGCGACAAGGTGAGCTGGCATCAAATGTGCGACTAAATGCTACTATCGAGAAGATAAAATAACGAATACGACAATAAGTTATTGCATGTGACAATTCCGAGCCTTCATCTCACTAAAGTATTTTGAAGTGAAAATAGGATTTTTGTTTTGATACATGGATTCAGATGAACGTAACTTTATTCTGACAACTAATCAAAACTGAACAAAATTGATTGTACGTAAAAGACAATTTATTGTTTTACAATGTTTTGATTGGCTAAACGAATGAAACCAACAAATTATGACATGTAAAATGACAATTTTGAAATGTAAAATTTAAAAGTGACAAACACAACCTCCCTATCCAGTCTTTGGGAGCCCTAGTAAATTAGTAATATGTACATGCAGCAGTGGTAGTGTGCAGCTTATTATCACACTACGCTTTGTATTCTAAAGCCTGTTGTTTGTAATAACACTGTTCACTCAACGTACAGTCAACGATAATCATTGTTTTATCCCGGTTATATGACCTCGGCAATTATAAAAACCGTACTAAACGAAAAAACGCAAATAAGAGAAAGCTTTCACACACATATAAAAAATGAACTAGTCTAATCCGCCAGTATAAACTCTGTGCTATACGTAGCCGGGTCAGGCGCACACTTTAAAATGTTTGCATTTGACTTATCACACTTCGAACTATCTTGAAGTGCAGTTTTCGACCTCTCAGTTTTGTTTAATCCTTAGATGTGATCATTATTCCATGGACAATATTTCAGCTGAAGCGGCTGGATGATCCAGAATTTGACGAAGATTCTGATGTGAGAATTTATTGGTTACATAATATTTTTATCTACATGGCATGCTCGCACAAAATAGATAATGAATTCATCGCTTACACTAGGTACTAACACGCATATATAGTAACACTTTCACTTCTGAATTGGTTTTTGCATCTTGATTTTCGTCTGATATTTCAATCCTGAGGTGAACTTTAGATTGGGTTGCGGAATGGGTAGAGTTAGTCAACATTTTACATCTTATGCACTCCTCTTCATAAATGTGGCAATCCGAACTCTCTCGGTATATGCAGTAGCTATTCAAAAGAACAAACCAAAGCCAAACATATGCGACAACCAAAATTATCGATCCAGCAGCCCATGCTGTAATTCTCACACTTTCGAGGAAGAGATGGATTGCTCTGACTGTTTGTTTACAAATTGGTGTTTACAAAATATGACTCAAAACGCTAGTTTCCTTGGTTTATCAAACAGCAAATTTTAAACTAAAACACGTCTTAGCGGACTATTATGTTGCATTTGGGGGTCACGATTGCCACACGTTAAGATAAGAGGGAGTGTACCTATATTTCATTGTGGTCCTAGGTAGAGGGAACCTTTTGGAAAAATGATGGAGACTATACAAGACCAATTGCATGTCAGGATTTCAAGCAAAATGACTTTCAACAAACTGCATGGTGGAATTATATATTGATTCGAATGAGACTCTGGGTGTTAAAGAGAGAATCAGATATAGCTAGCAGGCTAAACAAAAAATTGTTTCAATTTTAGAATATTTTTGGCTCATGTCCTTACTTTTCATGTCTATTTTCTATAAATCACAAAAGTGCATACTTTATTCAAGTAAAAGGAAAGATTTTTACAATAATGTATTATTTTTCTATAAGAATGGTTACCATTCTTATTATTTGGGAGAATTTAAACATTTTCCCCCCATTTATGCACTTTGAATCATTAATAACTTCACCAATTGACAACATATTGTGAATCTTTTGGGAGATATTGTATTTGATATTGTAAGAGATAGATTGGTAGGTCAATTATACATGTTGCTTGTAATCTTGTCACCCCCTATAGATCAGATTCTGCCTTTAATAGAGAACTTTGAAACGTGGTATGATCGTACCGACCTGACTCAAATGCGGAACGGAGTGAATTATACGTTATTTGCTTTACTTAATCTGACCAGAACCAGAAGTCCAAACTAGTCCCAGATAACCTCCTGAATTTCGCATTTTATCATTTTAAATAATGACATTTTAAATAATTATAGCAACAATTTTCAGTTGCTTGAAAAAGATTTGAAGAATAAATCGAAATATTGCAAAACAAAATCAATTTGTTAAATAATGACAATGACAGTGATTGGTCCAAAAAAGGGGTTTTCAGGTTTCTTAACACTCGATGTAATGCATCTGTTGGTGGCGGAAACAGGAACTGGAACTAAAAGCATGTGCATGTAATATAAACTTCGTCAATCCTTGCATGTTATTGTGTTCTTTATGTTGCACTTTAAGGTGGGACTAGTAGGGACATTCTTTCTTTTTATGCATGATCTGCAACTTGTGTGAAGTTATTCAACAAAATCTGTCCTCATCGAGGATAACACTTGTTTGTTGTATGAATGTCATCAATTCATTATCTTCACTGTCTCTAAATTTTTTGATAATTTGGCTACATCTAGGTAGTTTGCACTATTACCATCAATTTGGGCCATTTAAAGGCATGTGTGTGAATCTTTCATACCATGGGGTTCGATGTATAAGTTGTACCATTACCATTATCAGTTTGTTTAATACAGTTATATTATGTACTGTAGAGTACAACTTTGAAATTGTATCATATCGAAAATATAAACCGTATAGTAATATACGGATTAAAATGTGATCAGTGTGATTGGTCGGTAGACGCTTTGATCGGCATCCCGAAATCTTCTCTACGGCAAACAACTTAAAGCAATGACTTATGAAGTGCTTGATTCAGTGCTTGCCTTTTGCATTTATACCCTTCTAAACGAAACTTGATTATGTTTATTGCTTATGTCTACAGGTAGTCAAAGACCTGGTGACGATATTCCCAGTGCTGCGGGACTGGATAACGTCATTCCTGGATGATAACAAATATATGACAGCATCTGATATTGGACACAATATGCTCATTGAACAGGTACGGAACCTTAACCACGTGACACTTGATGATTTATTCATTCTCATAACTTCTTTCTATTTGTAACAAGCTATGCATGGCGAGGAGGGGGTAATTGCATTGTTCATAATGAGCGTTTAAGTGCAATGTTCCAAAAGGGGAATACTGACTTGGGAAAGTTTTAATTTGAATTGAACCTGTTCACAGAAAAACGTATCTTTATGTGAGCATTGGTAACTGACATTTTTTCATTGTTGGTGTTGCCATGGTTACCAAGAAAACACAACAAGACAAAAATAAGACTTAATTGAGAAATCCTACTCGAATATGCCAACTATTTGTCAATGGACTTCTTCATCGAATCTCATTTATTCTCCTCTGACAATTAAGATTATAATTTTAAATATAACATTTTTTTTGTTAAGGTATTGCGGCTATTACACTACTTAGTACGGTTTGGTTACTACGGCAACGCGAGGGATGTAAAAGAACTGCAGAAACCCCTCTTGAATTTACTAGAGGGTAAAAACGATATCCCCTTTCCACAGGACTTGGAAAAGGGATACTCCAAAGAAGCACAAATGGTAGTGGCGCGATACAGAGACAAGGAAAGATATGACATGGCGCCAGAGACCAGTGCAATAGTAGATGCCAAATACCAGTATGTTAACATTTGAAATTGTCTCTAGCTATGCAAAGGCTTCGAATAACATGAAACAAACAAGAAAAGATATAAGTGTGCAAAAATAAGCATAACAATATATTGGATTCATTTTTTTCACGAAAAATTCAACACTCGTGTTTATAGTGGCAATTTTTAAAGATCAAATCATTTCTGTTTTTCAGAGCAATGCAAGTATTAGATCTGTTAATGACATACCAGTTCAACACAAGATTGGAGGTAATTAAATCAAATAATAGTCGATTTATTCTGCAATAAAAAATAAAAAGCATCATTTATAGTCAGTTTCATTCATAATGTAAACATAGGCTGAGAGCTTTATGTCCAAAAATGAAATAAGTAATGATTTATTTTATAAGTTGAATGACGGACGATTTAAACGAATTATATAATATTTCTTAAGGATTTCCCATGTCCCTAAGCTAGGGATTATTTATTTCATGTTAATAACGTTAATGATGATGTCAACTTCGTTTATACGTCGTAAATGAAGTACGTGCTTTATGAAATATATACACCATATGAGTATATTTTAGATGCAGCTATTTTAGACAAACCATGTTTAGTATTTTCACTTGTCATCCTTCAGTGAATATTATATGGTTCCTATTTTTTGAACAATATGCAGTGAATACTCATGTTAACAGAAATATATGTACTTATTTCAGAGCTTTATTGCAAAGTTCAAAGTTGCAGAGCGAAGTGCGGGAACCAAGAAACAACATAAACTTTGCCCACTTCTCTATGAAACATACGATTCTTTAGATACAACCAAGTAAGTTTGAATTGGATCCAAGCACCAATTAGTAGGATTGTACCAGCTTGTAAGTGTAAGAAATAGGGTGTCAGAAGTGAACCTTGTACAACTCCTATGTAGTTATATCTTATATACATTCCCAATTATAGGACAGAAGAGTCTGTTTACACATATTTGTGAGTATATCAAATAAGATGGTCGTCGGAAAGAACCTTGCACAACTCTAAAGTTTTTATTTTGACTAAGCTCATAAAATGTGTTTTCTGTTTTCCCTACTAAGTGTAATTAATCTTGAAATTCAATTTAAATTCTAATTCACAGCTGTATTTCCTAACATTTAGCTAACCATACGTTGGTTAATTCATAACGACATCTCTACTGTATGATTCCATTGCACTATTATTAATGACAACTGTATCACATATTGTATATAGTGTCCAATGCAAGTATACTTATAATCATGTTATAATCTCTAGTAATAATTGAAGATGTTCTGAATGTACTCATTTGTTTGCTATTGACCCTTTCTTCTAATTTTGATTATAATGCTACTAAATGATTGAATTTGAACACAACTTTTTTTCCAAATTCATGGGGCATGGCAGCTTTAATGTTATTTTGAAAATACTCTCAATTGTCAAATAATTAAACATTGCAGTTTAAAGAGGAGTAAAATTAGGTTTAGAAAATTGTCAAAAAATCACATAACTCGTACTATTTACCGATGAAATAACATCGTTTGGGGGCGTACTTTTTCCAAAAATGTGTATTTGGACCACCTATGTTTTTCAAGTCGTACTGTGTCGGCCATTTTGGATTTTCAGGGAAGACTTTTTAAAATGGTTTTAAGAGGCAGAAAACCCAAAGTTTATACATGTATCACACTTTCTGCCAATTATATAAGTGCATTACCCACTATTAATAAAGATTTAATGACCACAATTATTTTTCTTGAAGGAAATCAACTAAAGAACAGAAAAAAGCATACGCTGCTTTGAACGACATGTTTGAGGCTACCTCATACTTCGACAACGAGCATCTCATTGCAGTATTACTGGTAAGGATCATGCATATTGGCAGAGGCCAAAGGTTCGATTCGCCTTGACATGGACTGAATCTTTCACATCAGTCCTGACCTCACTTTTAATTCAGTTTTTCGATATAACTTTTTTAATTTGTGTTTAACTTATTTGAAATACATCAACTGTATTTTTGGCATAGAACCTTGGGGATTTCTTTGTTCTTACTTGCCTAATTAGAATGTTTTTTGCAGGATCTTTCTAACTACAAGTATGATAAGATGGTGACAAAATCACTGGCATTATTGAACAAGTTCTACTCGTCCAAGTCAAATACTTTCAAAATCGCAGTACAAGCCCAGGTAAGACACAATTAATACATTATTTTATACTGATGTAAAGTGCTCAAGAAGCAGTACGACCGTGTCTCATAGATTTCCTCAAAATGTAAACCATTTTTGAGAATAATGACAATTGAAAAAAGGTAAACAATGAAAAGGTATGCATTTTTCCGAGTAATTTGAAAGTAAAGTAAAAGGCTCGTTGATCATGGTTAATTTACACTCATCTGGGTAACGCTTACCTTAGTTGATTCATTGCATTCTAGGTTCTTATCACCCCTGACTCAATCAAGGTCCACCGAGAAGTGCAGCATAACATGCCTTTGCTCAGACGTCTTGCCAAATCTAAACTTAGTGATGAGCAGGTCATCACTATGAGTGACATCCTCGAAAAATTTATCAAGTAATGAATTTTTATGTCTTTGCAATAAACTTTCCATTTTCTTACGTCATTTACCAGTCAGGATGCCATTTTTTACACATTCATGAAAGAATAAAAAATGACTAACGCTGATTTCCCCAAACCGTTTACAAACATTCCTACCTGCAAAATAAAATGAATCCAAATGATATGTATCAATTTATCTAGACTGTAAACAAATGACAACATGAAATAAGCACACAAATAATATGATGAGAAATATCAGATTGAATACTACGGATGCCATAATTAGAAATGGAAAAGTAAAAATATCAATAAATATTTATGTCAAGCAGAATATTGATTAGCACATTCCGCTTAAACTTGTACATTGGTGGTTACAAACCCATTATTTTAACCCACCTTAATTCTGCACAAGACAAAACATTGAATAACGTAATCTTTTTAGGTTCTGCCACATGCCGTACAGTGATGAGGAACGTCATCCGATGAACCAAAGTATTCTAATCAATCATGGTAATATGGGAGTCAATCATTATGTGAAATATATAATGTAGTTCAAAATAGTGTTAAATGAAAGAATATGATCTAAGAATCAATTTCATTTCACTTAATATATAGTCAAAGCTTGTCCTATGTTGGCATTGTCATAGTTTGAACACAACTCACTTATATTGTTTCATACACATTGATATGATAGTGTTTATGCACGACACAATTGACGATGTTGATTGCAACATATTAAGGTGCAGATCTAGAAATGTGATGATCACATTTTCACTTATTTATTTTCAGAGGTGTTATCACTTGTTTTTGATACACTTTCCCAAGAGATAGATGCCAAGCTCATAGTAAGTTAGATGTACACGTTGAACACATTTTTACTATAATTACCATTGTAATTACCATAATTGTAGATACCAAATAGAAAAACCAACATCTGATTCAGACACTAGCATTTTCTCTCAAATACGTGTCTTATTTGTTGTTTGATTTAGACCAACATTTCAAATATACCCCAAAAAAGTATTTCATACAATAATTTCCATATTGATAAAAACGATGCGTATGCAACTTTGATACTTTAGTTTGACCTTGGGGTACAGCATCTAAACTTTGTAGTCACGTTACTCATATACATTCTGCAGGGTCTACTATATGTTCATTTCTTTCTTAAATACTAGGAACAATACAGAGGCATTCGGTCTATTATGACCACTAGTCTAAAGTTGTTAAAAGCGTTGGCAAAGGGCAACGACTCCGTGCAGAGGAGAATATACGATCGGTTAGATTCGCTACTTAGAGTGAGATGTGTAGAATGTGAACTAGCAGCTGCCTTGAAAGAGGTAGATAGTGATGGATATTAATTATTAAACGATGCAATTAAGATTACAAACAGATCTGAGAATTTAAACTCATATTTATAAGAGTTAAACGCTCTTTTGTCAATAAAGTCATTGATTAAAGAAGTATTCTTCCACGATATGTAGTTGGTGTAGCGATGTCCCAGGTACAGGATCACTCGTTCATGTCGTTTACACTTTTGCTTTACAGGCATTTGCAGGCAACCAGACAACATGTCAAAAAGTTCTACCGAGACAGATCCAGAGAATTGTCCTTTTAACCGCTGAACATAAGGAAGAAGTTCCTGAATTTCTCGACCTTTTGAATGCCATTGCAAAGGTGAGCTTCATTTCGTTCAGTGGTTCTAAATTATTTTTATCACAAAAACCAAGAACTGCTTCTTTTTGTTGTCTTAACTTATCTGATGTCCTTTTAATTATGATCAATTTAAATTAACGACACCTCTAGATATACCCTTAATCCTGAATTTAGAAAGTTTAATTGTTTTATGTTATTTAGTACTAGAAATTGTTGTTATAGAAATCACACATAGAAATAACCCCTCTCTACAAAATCATCTCTATATTGGGGATTCAATCCCTCTCAGTTGTATAGGACCTCCTGCGTTCATTATATACATCTTGAACTGCTTAATAATATTTTATTTTAGGTACAAGGTCTGGACCTGGCTCTGAGAAGGAATCAAACACATATAATGAAATTCATTATGCAAAACTACAGTAGAACAGCATATGTCATTGATAAACCAAAGGAAAAGAGGTATGTTATCAAAGGGTATTCGACCTAGTGGCATCTATGTACTTCACTAAAAATAGGTTTATTTCCTCTCAATATTTCTCATGATATTTACAAAAACATACAGGAAATCGGCTTTTGGCTTTTTGTATCCACTTCCATCTATGGCATCTAGTGACATACTATTTGATAAAGAGAGGACTATATCTTAGAACGATATAGCCTACTGGGATTGTTTTTCAATATATATCAACAAAGTGCTTCATGTTTGTTCGTTTTCTTCATTCAAATAGGTGTTCCACACTTTTAAAAACATATACCCATACACGTAATCTTTGTATTTGTAGAGAGAGAATCCTCACGGGGAAAACCACCGGAAGACACTTGCAGTATTTGGTCAGTCTAGTAGAGCTGCTCTCAACATGTGCCGAGGTGAGAGAACTCATTGACCACTTTTTTATGTTCAGCATTCCATTCCAATAGCTTGGCAAATCAAAGTCCATGGGTTATGTTATATCAATAGATTCATACTTTTCCTGGATTTTAACATTTTGTCTGATATCATGCACAAAAATGTGTTTTGGACGAGTGCTATAGAATCTCTTTTTGTCGGTAGAAACCACTGAAATACATGATATGAGAATTTACATAACGACAAACGACAAAATCAAACATATTATTACAGAAATATATGGCCCATGCCCAGTAAAAACACAAATAAAATGTAGGACTTCTATCGTCAACGTCTATACGTTAGAATGCCCTTGCCGTATCAACATGTCCTGCAGAACCTGCCGTTGTCATTTTATGCCCATGTATCCTCCTAAGCAGGTATACAGATTCCGTACCCCCTTCTTCCCCCTGCTATAACCAATTTGGAAGCGCCCGATTAAACTGAATCATGTGATCTAATTATGCACAATGACTTATACATGCTTTCTGTCGCAGTGTTGCGACAGCCAATCAGATTTCGAGTTCTTAATCGGGGAAATGCTAACTGCGTATCGCAGGGGGTAAAAAGAAAGAATATATTCTGGATTTTGAAGCCCTGTGATCGGAGGATGTTTTATGCCATATTTGTATTATTTATTATAGGGTGAAAACAGGTTTATCGAATCACTTTGTCAGAGCATCATACCAATTGAAGAAATTCTATGGACTCTGACTCACAACAAGATATCAGTTGATATCAAGAAGGCCTACCTGAAGTTTTTACTCTGGGTTTACATGAGGACTTCCGGAAGTATTGTTGACAGTGGGGCGGGAGAGTTACCTCACGATAAGTAAGTATTTCTTAAAGTGTCTGATATAATTGTAAATGTTTTCCATTTCTCCGCCGCTTGTCTTGAATGATATGCACTTCAAAGATGTTTTAATATTACGTTCACATACTTATTTAAACCTAGAAATAGTCAGATAGCCCGTCATTTAAGGAGGTGTATATTCACATGCAGCATTCGACATCTTTTTTATTTTTTAAAACGTTGCTTTGCCCCATGTACTTGACTGTGCTTAACTCATATATGATTGCATTTAACATACGTTTGATTACGTTTTTTATTTAAATAGATTGATGTGGCAGTACTTAGAAGATATAACTCAACTGTCCAACTGGCTCACGGATTATGTGAACGATAACAGAGAAGCAGTGAAGGAAATGCTTAGGAATACACCAGACAAAGGGTATGTCAAATAATTAACTTTACTTTTTAAATGATAAGGGAACTTGCAGAATGAAATTACAAATACAATGCTTAAAATGTGTTTGGTTGTAATTGGTACAGTATGTGCTAAAAATAATATTTGTTGTTTGTCAGTGGTATAGTCTATGGGAAAAGTTATGCTCGGTTTTCGTTTGTCATTTCTCTTTTTATTTTCCAGAATATTATCTGGTTCAGATGAAGAAACAAAAGCCCTCGCTACGCTCATATACTTCCTCGATGCAGTATTGCCATTCCTTAGAACATTTTTCAGCAAATTCTACTCTGTTGATAGAGAGATTTTCCCAAGAGAGCCAGATATTGTCAACGACCTTGCCAACGCTCTGCTGGTAAGAGGCGTCATACTGTCTTTACGATCACATACTAACGTTTTGATTTATGCGAATAAGAGGGTTATCCTAATAATCTATTAAATATTCTGTCCAGCCCCCTTTTCTCAAAATATGGGTGGATGTTCCATATTGGCGTTTAGTTACTAGTTTTGGAACCTCAAATTGGCATATAGTACACTTGATGGACAGAAGACTGTTTTTGGACTTGTCAATTTAACTATCGCATACAAAATAAAACGTGTGTTCAAACGTCATATTCATGGTTCACAAGGTGCAATGATGAGAGAAAACAAAGGCCTAGCTTAACATTTTTTAGAAGAATCAATCGTGCACTTTTTAAAATTAATAATAGTTCCATTGTGTATCATAGTTGATATTGCTCAAGGCAAACCCAGAAGGTTTTTATCAATGTTTTATAAAAAAAATACTCGTTACAGATGTTTTGTGACGCAACCCGTCCACTTATGCCACACCCTGGTCAGCTGAAAGTAATGATGAGTTGTATGACGACACTCTTGCCGGCTTCAACACTTTCTATGTCTGTAAGTAACGTTAGCTAATTAACACTAATTGGTAGGAATCAGTTGTTGCCTGATGTGATTGTAGTGACATGTAAAATGTGAAAATATATAATTGAGTTTTTCATATCCAAATCATCAGCACCACGACTATTTCCCGGATTATTAAAAATAATGTGATGGTTTAAGGGTGGCTTAAATCTTCAAAGCGATGGTAACACATCTATCCGTTCAGTGATGGATTGTTGATCGGTATATTGGGAGAATCAAAAATTAAATTAAAGACATCATTTTCAGGTGATCGAAGGGTTTGTGGAACAATTTGGATCTGCCAACTGGATGAGCCAGTTCTTCGACGACACCGAGGTAAGTACTTTCTTTCGGTGCTTTATAAGTTATTTATATATACATGATTTCTGGTCGATTCTGGTTGATAAGTTGATACCTTAAAATACAATACCTTAAAACATCTACATGACTACTTATAATGAATGATTACTTCCATTGTTTAATTATATCAATTCAGGCGCAAATGGACTACTATGGAGCGGAGTTGGAATTAAACGCAAAATTCCGTACATTCGCAGTGAACGCAAGTATGCTATACGGAGGCCACAACACAGTCGCGGCTCAATTAAAGTATACATCGAACAGAGGTGAATCCAGAGGTATGTTTTTGAATTAATCTTAATCTACAGGATGTCAATTAAATATGTTCACCCCTTAATTTCAAAAGTATGAACTTTTGTGCATAGAAGTGCATCTAGTTGAGCTTTGATTCTTCTTGTGGAGTTGCTCCGTGAAGCCTAGTTTTAATGTGCTAAAGAACCATTCAAATATCATGCAGACAATAAAGGTTATGCAACATTATGTGGATGTTAAAGCTAAGGAGGGGATAACATATTTATTTGACACCCTGTGTAAGTTATAAACATGTCGCCACTACAGGGTATTTCAAAAAGAATGCATATATAGAACAATTCAGGAGTCAAATCACACACAATGATAACATTTTATTAAACAGAAGTTTTTATGTACAGTTAGTTACAAGCAGTGACACATGGATGAAACCTTATCCCTAGAACATTCTTCATAGTTTCATGTTTTTGCTTTTCAATATACGAAAATTAGAATTTGAAATCTCCACACAAAAGCGAAGTCCCAAAGTTCAAAAACTCCATCAAGGTCGCGTGGTGTAAATGACACGTCACATAACACGTTTTCGCCAAATATAAACAAGCAATTGCAATATCCAACAGAGCAGTTGGTATTAGCAAACTTTTTGGAGTAGTTTATATTGGCGTTCATTGTTTTATGAATATATTATAGAATACACAAAAATTGGAGGTGACGAGGCTCTACCGCTAGGAGAGGAGTTCCAAGATCACATACGGTGCTTTATGACTCCTAATGAGAAAAAACTGCCAAAGAAATATGCCTTATCAGAAAAACTTGTCCAGCAGTTGGGGTGAGGATGTTTTAAGTTCATCAAATTATTTATTCCTGAAAGTATTGTTCTGTAAGTATTGCTCTGTGATAAGTTTTTAGGGGTTTGTAAAATGTTAGCAATCAAAAACCTCGACACTGTTTCCCTTTGTCCCGCTGAAGTTTAAAACAAAAGTATACACTTACTTTGATGCTACAAAAAAGCATGTTTAAAGAGTTCTGAATAAATCAAAAGTCCGATTTGAACTGATTATTCAGTAGACTATTCGTATTAAAGCAAAACGTAGATATGTTGCGATATGTCAGATATTACCAACTAACCAGACTTAACGCCTTGATAACTTGGTTTTTACCTTTCCCTTTTGTTTTCTACCCCAGTATATCGGCCACACAAGCTAATCTGAACGAAGCCACTCGGCTTGAACAAGAGGAACTGGACATCAAATGTTTGCAACTACTCAGAGCTATTATCCATAACGAGGAGAGGAAACTTCCGGAAGACTGGGATGAAAACCCACAAAAACATAAAAAGTAAGACATAGGAATTAAATCAATGTTTTTTTTATTTAAAAAGTTATATGAACGTGGCAAAACCAACTGCTTGGGTTTATGATTGATTATACATTTGCATTAACGTACTCGTTCCCGTGTAGCAATTTAAAAACATATCAAGCCTCATCAAATTACAGTTACACAGGTCTTGCATCGAATCACTGTATTGAGAATGCCTTCGCACAAAAACACGCATACACGTACACGCAGACGCACACGCAGACGCACGCACACCTTCTCTTAAAGATTGACAAGCTTTCTCAAGTTTTATATTTGGGGATTTTTATAAATTCATTATAGATGTTACTAAATGCTCAAATATCAGAATCGATGATCAAAATTAAAATGTAACGTCCGAAAATGGGGATCATTTTTGGAAAATGGTAACCAAATATACGAAAATGAATCCGTTGTTGTAAAGGTCTTAAACTTTTCTCAAATAAAGTCACGTGGGGATAAGAAGAATATAGACATGAAAAAATTGATATAAAGTCGAAATATTTTAGAATTGAAACAATCATCATCACTACTACTATTCTTTGGAAGATCTGATGCATGTGTTCATTATCAACTATTGTTAAACCTTATCTGATATCATGCATATCATATCTTAATGACTTCAACATAATGTTTTTCCCTTTACGATCTATAGCACGTGCTTTGGCATGCCACAATCCACGCATGAGTGCATGTATAAATCATTTGCTAGATAAAACGTTTCAATCTGAAAGAACAGGTCAATTTGCACAATTAAGATATTAACATTTTTCATTCGTCCATCCATTTCATTAATCAAAAAGATATAAACTATATGTATATGGTTGTTTTAGGAGAATTTACAGAGAGTAAGTATAATGGACTATGGTAACATTTTAATGGTAGTATTTATGGTAGTATTTTGTTGATCAAGGAATGCCTTATTATTTCAACTCGGCAAATGGGTTCCTTATGAAAACATGATTTTTTTTTCTTTTAAAAAGTTTATTTTCGTTTCTTTTTTATATCGAGTTTCTATCTATTTTTATTTTCAGAAAAGCATTTTAATAGCAAAAATCTATGTTTCTTAGTACTTTTGAAATAGTTTCTTTTAGAATAAATATATTTTTTAATTCCAAAACGGCATATGTTAATGCATGAGTGCCTTGACATATTTTTATCTGTATTCTTAGATAGCAATTTTTATAAAAAAATAGATTTTCTAATTCGCAAACAAACTTTGGGAATTCGAAGACCTAATGTAGTCATGTCTTAATCTTTCAGTTTTGTGAGTAGAGCACATAGTTCATAAATCTTTCTAGGTTATGGCTTATTAGGGTTTATACAAATATAAACATATTAAAAAGGAAATCATCAGTCATTGAAGGAGGTCAATGGATTTTTAAAATATTCGTAGAATAGAGAGTTTAAGCTTGTCCGGTTTTTCACAATCAATATACGTGAACGGAAAGTACATTGAGTTAATATCGAGAGTGCATAGTTTTGTACTTCAGATACTCGTTCAGCTTCAGAGTTCCGTATTAAGAACGGGAAATAAGCAATGTCACGTCAATAAGAATCATTATACTCATGTCTGTTGAATACTATGCTGGCAATTTTGATTGCGATGCACAATAATTCTTTCTGGAAAAAATGATATATGACACGTATGTTTAAGCTCCAAATAGCTTACGAAACGAGCTTGTTTACAATATGTATCATGCATTTGTATATGGGCGATTGATACGTAAAGATTGCCGTTTCGATTTTATGTGCAAGCTTTTAATCTCTATTGTACTTGTGGCTATTAATTCATGTACATTCATTTACTCTTTATGCAGAACTGAAAGACGTAGATCATGTTTGGAATTAATAATACGTAGCTGAAGATAACACGGTGCTCAGTTTAACTTTTCTAAACATACAAACCTAACTTAAACCTTTTTCGCTATCCTTATGGACGAGGTACCAGTCCCGGAACTATTCAAACCAAAATCGCCATAACATTGATAATATTTGGTGCGTAAAATGTGTAGTACAAATACAATTTAATAAAATAATATTGCTAATAATATTTTTAGGATATATAGGTACTATGTAACTAATGAAATGAGTATTCATGCCTAGCTGTTTTTACTATTGTGCACATTTGATGACATTAAGTCAGATAGACAATTAAGGTCCCTTCAACTAATCAAATGGACTCACGATATAGCAGCTTTAGAATAATATAAAAATCTCTAAGAAAAATGTTTATGATCGTAAAAACATCATTTCATTTGTGTTTATATATTACACGTCATCTTTAAAGTGTGTTTAATGGCAACATCTTTTTTACATTTACCCAATTGGTACACACATTTGAAAAACATGAAAAATTCTTTGGTGTCAATAGATATGCTAAAGTGGTGTCATTTTGCAATGTACTGATGCTATTACTTACAGACAGTTGGACAATATTCGAGACATTCAGAACATTCTAACGGGACACGGTGCAGTCGTTAAAGTTCTCCCACATCTGGCAAGGTAGGTTTTATATTGTTCTTTTCCTTTAAGATGACATAATTATGTTAAGGGTCGTGCATAAAATATAGGCCGTTATATGGTATTTAGATAAAATCTTAATTTGGCCATTCCGATAAGAGTTTTCAGGATAAGACCATTCACTTAAATCGAACGCAAGGTTTCCTCAATTAAGCACTCGTTGATGAGAATAATGCCTTGGTCACATTTGCCCCGATTCATCGGCCGGCGCCCGGCCGATTGAGTATTCTGTTCAAAACTAAATACAATTGTGAACAGGATACTCAATCGGCCGGGCGCCGACCAATGCATCGGAGCAAATGTGACCCAGGCATTAGTCAGAGAAAGCATGCGATAGCAGCATTTTAAACGATTTATATTTTAAATGAATCACTGAAGACGAAGCTCTCTTTTATAAGAAGTGAAGTCAAACGAATGCAAGGGATACCTACTGCCATATTTTTGGGTCAAACTAACATGTACCGGTGTAAAAGGGTAGGAGGTCCTATCAAATTATGGTCCTACTTTCCAATAATTTATATGGTGACCTAAATATAACGCTTTCCCTTATTATCGTATCCACAATCAGGGCCTTTAAGAAAGGGGACCATAATCCCCAGGTGACCATTTTTTCTTTCACACCTGTCACCAAAGCATCATAAAGATTATTTTGTAATTCATCTTTAATTTTAGATATAATGATGACATTGTAAAGGAGGTTCTGTCTCTATTAGCAATGATGCTGTTCAACGCAAATGTAACTGTGCAGGTAATACTAGAATTATTCTTATGTAGTAAACGTTTATATGACATAATTTACAAACTAGTTTAACTTTATTGTCTTTAAGTAAAGGATAACGGTCAACGTCATTTAAAACATTGTACAATCAAAATGACAAATTAATGTTCCAGCTTCGAAACAAACATTAACATATCACTCAATACCTATAATCGTGTGTTGTTTATTTTTTTCAAGGTTTATTTCATAGATACAAACAAATATACAATGAATAGGCAGGGTTGGGGCAAATCGCCTTCCGGCATTTCATGTCCCAATGTGTGTTGTTTATTGTTCTTTATTTTTAGGTTTCACTCATAGACTACTTCAAGGCAACCAGAGAAGAGGTCTTTTTCGTTGCAATACGAAATCGAATGCAAATGTCTATTGTGGCGATCAAAGAGCGTAGATCACTCGAGGCCCAACGTCATGCAAGAATCAAGGAACTGTTGAATCAGACAAAGAGCATCCAGTCGACAATGTCTGCTGGACGAAAAGCTCTTCATGAGCTACAAGCGTTCGAGAATGAAATCAAAAGAAATCCTTTGCAGCCAGCGGTAAGTTTTCTCACCAGGTAATTGTCAAGGCATGTATCTGATTGGGCGGTTTCGGTCATATGACTGGCCGAAGTTAGGTAATGCTAGATTAACCGCAAATAAATAAAAAATAAATAAGATAACTAATAAAATAAAATAAGATAAAAATCTGATTAGCCTCATAAGCATGTATACAGACTCATACAATAGCGCTACAAATTGTCAAATAATCAGCTGCGGAAATGATGTACTGTTGAAAGAGCGTCTTTTATTGTGACCATGTATTCTATTGTATTACAAAAACTGTCGATCTGATGGATGGATTTTTAATTGAAATGGGCAAAGCAGTACATGTAAACCATTTCTTAATATCCAAATACTAAATTGAATTCTATTTTTTGTAAATATCAAAAAATATTGCAATGTTTTTGCTTAGTTTTAACTTGAACAATGATTTGTTTTCAGCGCAAGGCGACGTTGGGTATGCTACAGTCGCGTGCGTCACAACGTTCAGTCAAGCTAAAGAAAAACAAAGACAGTCTCAAGAAATCAAAAGAAAAAACGAAACCCAAGAAAAAAGTCCAGTTTAACAACGTAGAGGTAATTACTGTTACTAGCAATTTACCCTTGACCTAAGGTCACCAAATCACGGGTTGCTAAGGGTCATAGCAGCCCATAAAAGCCTTAAAGCACAAAATACAGGGTGGTAAAAAAGGAAACCCTGCATTTTCCTAATATCTTTTATGGAATTACTCCCTGATATTTCACACATTTGTACATCATTCAATTTCCAACCATCCTACTAAATCTCATGACCATCAGACCGATAGTCACAATTTTACAGCACTTTGAATAACATGCTTCAAGTTTGGCCATAATCGCGCTGTAGGCAAACCTGCACAGTTGTCAATGGGCCGAATGCATTCCTCAGCAGGTATGGCCTGAATGATACGGATGATCTCACTTTGAGGTTTGTGATTGTCCCGAGGTCATTCTCATACACCTTTTCCTTGCCATATCCCCACAGGTAGGGACACTTTGGACGACTAGACAACTTTGGATAACATCTGGATATCTGGTTTTCATCTGGTTGTGACTTTTTGTTTTAGACTAATCTTGAAGAAGGTGTAACGATATCCAATGGGGAAGCAGACTTTGAAATGAGTAACCATAGTAACCACAACGATAGCATATATAACCATGTAGACGTGAAAGTCATGGTAAGATAGATTTTTACCACAGGTGCATGCAGTTGTAAAATTATAACACCATATTTGATTTATACAGAATAATAAAAGTATCATGGAATGTTTTATGATTACCATATTTTAAAAAAACTTCATCTTTGAATTTTCACAACGAGAAGGAAACGGGGATTATTGGATATTGAAGTAGTTGTTGTTTTTGTTACAATAGCCTTCAGATGGAATAGACAATCAAGGCTTTACTGACATACAGCAAGACACTGATTTGGACGATGGGGATAAGGTCGAGTATAAGGACGAAGGTTACATAGTGCTTGTGCTGAACCTACTCGCTTGCATGTGTGATGGCCAGCATAAAGGATTACAGGTAAATAATTGAAATGATGCATACTGTGAGTTCGGGGGATCCTGGTGTGGCGATGGTGCCTAGCTTAGTGTGTTCAGTTCTTTTGACCGCTCGGCAAACTCTTCAATTGCAAGTGTAAGGCAACTCAAAATGTCCAAAGTCATCAGAGGACGCCTTTTCAAATCACTTGCCTGATAATCTTGAAAAGAAGGATCATTCTGAATAGAAATTATGTCAGAACTGTTGAAATTTAAGAAAATATGCACTAAAAAAAGTGTTTGGTGCAACAGACAATTACGACCATTTTTCGAAATATACTCTCAACTCTCATCCCCAATTCCTTTACTTCATTAAGTAGCATCAATGTTCCGTCTCCCCTTCGATATATTATTTTCTGTCTATGCCTGTTGATTTTTTTCTTGTTTGGAGATTTATTGTGTATTTACTAAAACTAATAACTACCGTGTGCTTTAGTAGTCCCTGGAAAATGTCCCATAATTGACCAATATTTGCCATGTGCTTTAGTAGTCCCTTGACAATGTCCCATAATTGACCAATATTTGTTTTTTAGGATTACCTAAGGGAACAACCTGATAACATTAAAACGGTTGATCTTATAGCAGAGACAACCCAGTTTGTTAATATGGTGTACGCCAACATCAATGGCGAAACGATCGATCTAGTCGTCCAGTTGTTCACAACATTAAATGAATTCTGTGCAGTAAGTATAGTGCTGTATTACACGGTGACAATCCATACCCCGTATATCGCGAAAAAGTTGCCACTGACATCGCGAGCCATGAGCACATGTTAGAAGCGGGGCTTTGAGAGATATGAAAAATATAATTATAGTCGAAGAACATCGTTGCCCTGCAATTGAAATAGCCATTGTACTATGAAATAAAGTTGTACTGAGTTTCATTTACTAAAGTTTCATAGAAAATTTTATATTTCAATTTTATCATATCTCTCAAGGCCCCACTTCTATTATGAGCTCATTGTTCGCTATGAAACCGGGGCCTGGATAGTACCCGTGTAATAGCTTGCAAATAATGGGATGGCAACATCAAATATGTTTAAAGACATAGCACAATATTGACATTTTTGCCCATTTTTCAATTTAAAGCTACTCATTGACTTATAAGTAACCATTGTTATAATCGAATGTGAATTGTTATTAATCTAATGTGAATTGTTATTAAACGCAGTAGACGTTCTACATTCAAAATTATTGACTTGTATCCACTTTTCATCCACAATTACACATACTTCTGATAATAGTTGATGCTGTTTCCATGTTTTCAAAACTTTAAAACAATTTGAGAATCTTAAACTCAGTATAATACGACCGGTGTAAAAGGGTATGAGGTCCCATCAAAGTTTGGTCTTACGAACTCTCTATTGATTTATATGGTGACCTAATTACAATTATTTTCCTTATTATTTACACACAGTCAGGGCCAGTAAGGGCCGCAAGGAAAGGGGACCATAATCCCCGGGGGACCATAATTTCTTTTACACCGGAGATCTCTATGTTTCAGGGAAATCAAGCGAACAGAGTCGTGCTATTCAACAACAAAGTTATAGATTACATTAACTTTATCCTAAGGGCTGGCTCCTTTGAGGATTGTGATCCATCTCAAGTATTAGAGCTGAATGCAGTCATTGGAAACCTTCTGGTTTCCTTGATTGAAGAGAACTCACCAGAGGCTTACAGGGTTGCAAAAGTAAGAAAATTGACAATACTTATTGTCGAGGTTTTTTCCCAAGGCTTCTTCATACAGTTATTTAAAGTACAGCATGCGACGCATCTATATACGCGTTCATGAGGAAGATGTTCTAGATTTCAGGTTTCATTAATAAGATGTTGTTAAATCAGTATAATTCTTAAGAAGAGCGTCATTTAGATATTTTCGTTCAAATGTTACATCATTTTCTGAGCCTCGACATAGGGAAATCGATCTTATCACAAAAACCAAAAGTTTGCTCTGGTGCCAAGAATGTACCCAAGATTAACTCTTTGTGCCTTTTAAGATAAACTAAAATCAAATTATTGAATTATCTGTCAAGACCTCTTTTCCTGTGGCCTGGCTTTATTTATGTTTTCATTTTGTTGGTTTTGGGGATACATATTCAAAGTACCATATTACATTACATATCAAAAGGCAAAACATGTCATATTATTTGATGTTTCATCCTATCATAGGAAGTGAAAGACACGTTGGATAAAGACGCCATCTATCGGATCATGTCGAACTGCTATCAGATGCACCAGACCGAGAAGCCAAAATGGGAGGAGTTAATACAGAAGAATGCTTTAACAAGTAAAACTGCTGCTCTCAAATCAGCAAAATCTCTTGCCAAAGTGGGAGGAAAATTCATGATGAAAGCATTGGTAAGGATGATTTTGAATTAGAGACTTGAGGTTTAAATACCGTTTCCGTACGGTATTATGACAATAACATGTACATGTTATACGGATTTTATGATAATAACATTAAACAACGAAAATATTAGTAGGCGATAATGTGTTTTAACATCTGAAATTAAAGGATCACAAAACTCTCTGTTATACGAAATAAGTAACATATTTACTTATTTAACATATTCATCGTTGTTTTAAGTGTTATTTTGTTACACTGAATCATAATACTTTCAAACATGATTGCAGATACTATGTTTGTAATACATTTTAATCTCACTATCAACATTTTAGGCTGAACAAGCGAAAAGGCTGACTTTTCGTAAACCAGAAGTAAATCTCTTTTCTAGATACATGTTGTGCTTATTTATCATATCATAAAATAATTATTTACATCGTACCAGTATTGTTCCTAATTTTGACATTCACAATACCGTTATTATCATTGTAAAATAGACATGCTTTATTTATTTTTTCTTAGATTGCTATTCTAGTTTTTCATTCAAAGAGTTATGGTTTATAACATGCCATCTTTATGTTATAGAAGGACCATCGCCAAAATATTTCATAAATCAATGTTGTATATACGAAAGAATAACTTGCTGTCAAAAAATGTAAAAAACATAAAAAATCAATGTTGTCATAAATGTAGTAAACAATAAGCAAAAAACTTGTTACATTTTATTATACAATGTTTTTATTTTCTATGCTACGATATCCAATCGAAAGACCCCTTGAATGGTTTTGACAACCTTGAATAAATAGATATTATGCTATACGTACATATCCAATGGATACAAACAGAACATATCCACACAGAACATATATATTAGAACTTGATAACAACATTTCCTTTAAGTAATAACGCCTAAAATCACGATCTTTTTTGTTAAATATAGCCAGCTAAATTGAAATTCAACAAATTGACGATTTTGCGTACATTTGAAGTCTAGTTTATTCTTGGGGTTTATGCTAGGGTTTTTACATTGTATGGACGTTCATATTACCTAGGCTCGTGTCTTTATTTCCGTATTTTTCTATTTTGTAGAAAGGGAAAGAATTGGGAATGAGGGAGAAGTTGATTGAGACGGGATTCCTCTACTACTTTGTGTTGCAGAGAATGTACGACATCGACCCTCAATTAGAGACTCATGATGGTTAGTATTTATAAAACATCGCAACAATTATTGAACAATTAAAGTTCAATTTCAGTTATGCTGCTGTATTTTTATAAAACTTTCAAAAGCAAAAATATATACAGTTTACTTATTGTTGCAATTCATATATTCATCATTCGATATCAATAAATTAAAGTTATGGATAGTATGGTTACCATCGTCAGCAATTTTCGAGTTACTTTCGTTATTTTTGTATCAATGATCCCAGCTTTATATACAATCTTAAATTTTATTTTTAAGATCTGAAGCCAACGACAGAGCAACAGAAAGCATTCAAGTACTACAAGAAAAACTCGATGTCAATTGAGATTATGAAAGACGACTATTTAGCTAAAGCTACATTCCGGGTAAAAAATAAGGTATGCTATTCATATGGATAACATAAATTCCATCCTGTTTTTTTAGAATATACGATATACATTGTAAGTAATTAAAAATGATCACTGGTCGTGGTAGACCACCATGTCCTCTTTATTTAGGATCGTTAGGGCAATCTAAACGTGAAGACATCTATAAAAACAAGTAGAAAAGTAGTAAAAATAGATACACACACGTGTGTTAAATAATTATCCTATTTCATTATTAACCTATTCCATTATAGAATCTCTTAAGAGAGGAAGTAAAGGAGAAACTAAAATGGAGCGCTGATCGTTCCTCTCCTACGAATAAGATCAGAGATCTGATGATGTGGTCCAAAGATATATTAAAGGACATATACTATCAAAGGAGAATACTCACGAACCCTATTGCAGCATTCCTAACCAAGAATTGGTAAATTCTATTTTCTTTCAATGTAGTTATGTCCCGGGAGTTATGTCACCATCAGAAATGGTGACATATTGTTATAGTCTTCAATTTTTTGGACTGTGTTCGGCGGTCGCTAGTTGGTGTTCGGTGGTCACAACTGGCTGGTGGTGGCAAATGACAGATAGCGTTGTGCGATCATTACAATTCGTATTCTCCGGACATCACTGACCATCTTCTGGCTCTGATTGAGGAGAAACTAAAAAGGAAGCTAGTTGAAACTAGGCAACTTAACAAGCCGGTTAACAATTATTTGAATGGAAAACTACACTGGTGTAAGCATTGATATGAGCCTTTCTAATAATGATCCATTGAAATATAGTTCCATCACTTTATAAATTCAGAACCTCATGCTCATTTGCATTATAGCATATTAATTTAAGTTTCTGTTCATTAAGGTTAACATGGAACTACTTTACTATAATACTGAGTGTTGTGATAAACATATTGATGTTGATGTCGTGGCATGCTCCAATGGCAATAACTGCAGACACCCCAGATGATGATGATGACTACTGGATAAACAATACTCTTCCTCCGGCAATACACGAGTAAGTGTCCGATTGAGCAAAAGTCTAAAATTTAAATCAAATCAAAATGTTTTTGTTACAATCACGATTTTTTTTCTGATCAAATATCGTCCCGATTCATTAGAATCAATTTATTCGGCAGATAACTTTCAGATTAATATAAAGTCAATACTGTTAGATTTAAAACAGGCATGGCAGTATAAAATCTTGACATTTTCCAAACTTTAACTCAAACTCTCAGCTCTTCTCAAATCTTTCTTCATTTATTGACCATAGTATAGCTTTCTTAAAATAACTCATAAAATGTTGGCATATTAAATTCAGAAATAACTTAACAAATACAACGTATTTCGAAATGAGGTCCATTTTTAGAGTTGCAGAATTTCAATTTAAAATTAAAAAAAATGCCAATCATGAAAATGAAATGTTTATGAAACAAATGTATATTATGGTGGTAGTATATACTTGTACTTGTGTTCTAGTTACACACCTAAGCTGCTGACAACAGACTACTTAACGTGGATATATATTCTGGGAGGGGTTCACAACTTTTTCTCTCTCCTAGTCTTCATCAGCTACTTCCTGTCAAATCATCCACAACTTCCGGATATCCGCTGGATTTGGAACTGGATCAAGTAAGTCGAAGGGAAGGGGATATAGAGGTCGATGTCCACAAGCAATCCCTGACTCGTTTACTATGTATATGTATTTGCCTCTATACACTATGGGAACAAAAATATCTTGCCCCATATACCTTTTAGGCCAACGTTGCCTTTTTAAACCATAGCAATAAATAATTCTAACGTGTTTCTATAAATGTAACATTTGACTCTGAACTATGACAACACCAAAATGTTTTCATATATTCCTTGAAATCCACTGGTCGAGTCATTATTAATTCTCCAAACTATAACACTACCATAACCTTGTCCAATTTTCTCTAGACCATACATATTGCCCCAGTTTTAACTATGTCCATATTATGGTTTTAGACGGAGGATCGGGCGAAAAACAGACGAGGACTGGGAAGAAGATGAGAAACAAGAACATAAATCAAAACTAGAAGTACAATTATTTAGCTTTCAAACATTTTATTTTACAGTAAGTTTTTATGTTCTTCTGAATTTTTTTAATTTTATCATAAAAACGTTTCATACATTTAAATGATTAGTTCTCAACAGTTATATGCGTAGATCCACTCTTAGTCGATGTATATAGGCTAGAGGGCGATTGAAATGATTTTTAAATAAAGAGGGCATGTTGATCAATGTGTGTTTCTTTATACTTGAGAGAGAAATGATGCTTACCGGTGCTGCCATCTTTATATCGGCCAAGCCAATGTCACAATAAGTTTTATCTTTCTTATGTACACATGCACTTCCTTACGATGTTGAATTTGTAAATTGCAATTAATTATATTCAGCTGTTCCTTGGGATGTCTGTGGCTGGTACCATAACACAAGGATACTTCTTCGCCTTCCATTTATTAAACATAGTCAACAATAATCAGCTTCTTGGTGGAGTCATACAGGCAGTTACACAAAATGGTAAGTTGACTTTTATTTCGTAAAGCAAAGAATTTTGTTACAAAATCGCTAAAAAAACGTTCATTTAGTTTGCAGATTGAAAAAAATGAAAGAAAGAATATAAATAAAACTTTTATTTCGTTTGTAAAGTAAAATAATCGGTTGCATACTTGTAGTGTAGTAAGTTAATGCTTATCTCGTCAGTTAATTCAAGCAAGGGTTAAACTGGTATTTGAAGTTTGAAATGATAGCGCTGACTGTAAAATTATTGAATTGGTCGATGAGATGGTAGTCAAATGTCATCAATAATAATGCTCTCAATATTGTTATATGTTTCAGGTCGATCCTTGCTCTGGGTAGCAGTCCTCTTTCTCATTGTCTTTTACCTCTACGGCCTCGTCGCCTTCGCTCTTCTTAGACCCTCATTTAAGCCAAACGAAGAGTTCTATTGTGAGACGCTATGGCAGTGCACAATTACAGTCGTGCGTTATGGGATGGTCGGCGATCTGTTTGAGGTAAATTTGTTAATTTTCAATCAAACTGACTACTCATATCCTGATATATTGATCTACAATAGTCATGTAAATTATAATAATTTCATTTTCGTGACATTTCAATGATATCCCTCTGAAGAGATTATCACAACTTATGTTAATCCGAGAGCACCTTATTTTACCAAGATATATCCCTGATTATTTATATTAAGCCAGATCCCACAATCGCAAATGATTTTGACTAGAATTATTATGATTTAAATGAGTAGATATTGCACGAACTACAATGTGTGTGTCTATAGAACTAGAGCTGAACTGACCTTTCTAATACACCCTGCCGCATTTGCAACACCAAAAAAGCTGAAACATTTGCCACATTCATGATGCCATATTTGTGGTAGCAATAATTTTAAATACGATGCACGTTATATAATTATTGTAAAAAGTGTCTGGGGATTTAGTTTGTTTATAATGCTACCTACATCCTATGATATCATGAGCCAGGTCAGTCTATTCTGCTTCATATGGTGTAGCGATGAGTAGCAGGGTTCATTGCAAAGGTCATTTGCAAACTAACTAGAAAAAGCATGAATCATTACTGTTGAACTGATAATATACAAAATAATTAGTAATGAGCAGTTAAGAACTAATTGAGAGCAAGTTATAAATACATATTTTTCAATTATTTGGGCAGCATAATTATATTATCGCCCAATGTCTTTAGTAAAGAATTCTAGCCCCTTAAAACTCTGATGTTACTTAATATTTTAGAATTTGAGATATCAAAATAGAATTATCAGTTTAACAAGGGTGATGAACAAATGGTAAATGTTTTATGATAGAACTTATTTTAATGCTTAGATGAATACCGTAAGTCTGGACTTATACGTTTTTCAGTTTTTTTACTATAATTGTATATTGCTTTAGGTCATGCGGTAGTTGATTTTGAATTGCTTTTATGATAGCACCTTGTTAGTTGACTTCTAGTAAAACTATCTAGTATACTAGATATGGTAGTTGATAGTCGTTTCCTTCCATATTTTACAAACCCCTAGGTATATATCAACATAACTATTGCATATGATAATAGGCAGGGTTTTGCGTTTGTGTCTAAGGTGCTTGCTGTAACGAAAAAGCTATATAAGAAATAAAATGAAATTTATTTGTATGAAAAGCATTTATATTTACATGGTTCGCAAGAATTTACAACGTTCTTAAGAATTAATATAGCCTATATAATATAATATAAACTATTTTTTAAACTTGCCCGCCGGTCTCTGCATTTTATGTATTATTTTTTCAGCGCATTGGTCTCCACACCACCGAGAATACATTCATGAACTTTGGATACCTCACTATCTTCAACATCTCGTTCTTCATCATTATCTGCACCATTGGTCTCAATATCATATTTGGTATCATTGTCGATACATTCTCAGAACTCAGAGACCTAAAGGTATAGGCAATTTTCGTAACGAACCCCATTTTTCGTTGCAAGAGATTTGAAATACTCATCTTGATAGGATAAAAAAAGATCAAAACACATGAGGACAACATTTCCCACTTACAATTAGGGATAATTCAATTAATAATTGGTGTGGATAAAAGTTGCAAAGACCCATCACGCAAAAAGTGAAATAATATATAATTGTTTACCTTTTGATTTAGATTGTTTTTTAAGAACAGAGCAACGTAACTCACAAAGATCTAAGTATATAACAGTAACAATATAAACTTTATATTTTAGTGGACCGCTGAATCAGATATGAGAGACACGTGTTACATATGCAGTAGAAAAAGCTATGACTTTGAGCACCATGCAAACGTGAGCATTTTCATTTTAAAGTTCAGTCAATATTATCTCTTTTTGAAGAGCGTTCGGCTTATTTTCTCATGTAAATGCCTAGAGAGATGAAGTGTAGTGTTGTCATGTGCATTTATATTAATATATTTTATAGTATTAAATGAATTATATGATTATATGAAATTACACAGAAATAATTTATGGTAGTTTAAAACACAGAAATTGGGTACAAAACAAATGGAAGAGGAAAGAGAAAAAAACGAACTGTATTAATTATATATTTGCCTCGTGTCATTTGGAAGTACAATTCACAATCGGAATTTTTTAATCATAGAAATAAATCATAATAATTCAAGTTTCATTGCATTTTAGGGGTTTGATACTCATGTAAAACTCGAACACAATATGTGGGCATACATATTTTTCTTCATCCATCTGGATGATACAAAACACAACGACTATACTGCTTTGGACCTTTATGTATATACTCTGGTAAGTAACAGTCCCTCTCAGATATTTTGGAACCCTGCCTCCTCGACATATTGCCTGTAAAGGAGATGCTCGTGAAACGAATAAGGCAATCTTGACCATTGCATAATACAACTGTTTAAGGAGCTACACACATTAACATCATACAATATTGAAGCACATTATATTTTGTAAAAAGGAAATAAGGAATGAAACTTGCGATGCGTGATAATTTTATACTTTCTCCAGCAAGTTTGAAAATGTAGTCAATAGGAAGAGGTGGGGTCGCTAAATTGTTGATGGGTGTATATAGACATGTTCACCGTGTATATTGGATATAAAATATTGAAACATTTTAAAATGTTATTTATCTCTGTTTTTCAACTTGCTTAATATCTTTACTTATACATCCCCCCCCCCCAATCAACTATAATATTCCTAATATATTCTAGCTCAAACAAGAGAGATACGATTTCTTTCCGCTGAACCGAGCTCTGTCGCTGAGTAACGTCGATGAGGATAGCGCTGAATCAAAGCTAGATGAGCTACTTAAATACATGATCATGATTGTACGGAAACAACGAGATGAGGTAAACTTTGTTGACCTATTTGATACACAAGAAGGGAAAATTAATTTTACAGTTGTCTAATATATTTTAATAAATACTATTATAATGCATTCTTGTCCGAAGATGAATGAAAATCTCGCAATGCATTTTTCGACATGTCAAATAATCTCTCAAACTTTGGAATATTAATAATATGTCAGAAAATGTCCAAAGTGAAACAAATGCACAAAAGAATGAAGCACAGCTAGAATAATCCATATAATACAATCAGTTGCTTATAATTGTATACAATGAATATATCGGTCTTCTCTAGGAATCTGAAAAGAAGCGTCGCGAGGAGAGAATGAAACAACGCAAATGGCAAGAGGAGCATAGAAAAGCAATGAAAGAGGGTGAGGGGGCAAAAGACATTGATGCAACTATAAAACAAGCAATGGAGGATATTGAATCCATGGGAAGCATTGACCATGATGACTTAGATGCAAAGTATATACCCAAAGAATTCCAGTCTACTAGACTTTAGTGACTTTAGTACGAACCATTCCATTATATTCAAACTAATAAAGTTTGAATATTTACCAGGCTGGGCGAAGTTTGAATGGGAAGATGATACCACAACATTTCAATGGAAACAAATCATTGAAATCAAAAACTTAAATGTCACTTGCCATTTGTTAAAATCATATCGTAAAAATATTGAGCTACAGTTTAAGGAACATTTACTGAAAATTTCATGGAAAAATATCAATTATTAATAAAGTTAGAGCATATAGTTCATTACTTCTGGGACAAACCTCGTATATGTATCTAAAATATCCAATTGCCCAATAGCTATATGTACTTGAATGACAATTTACCAAAAGCTTTATGTACTTTTAAAAGCGAATACCTAATAAGCTGTACTTGTAAAATGACATAGTCCATCTATATGATATGAGACGATACGATATGATATATAATTCAAGAAATAATGGAATATATTGGAAAAGGCATTGAGTTGAACACTTGGCAAAACATATTCTATTTAAACTTAAAACCTATTTGTGGCCATAAAAATAGGAAAAACAAAAGGCACTAAATATCAGGATAACTCTTATGTATATTGGAAAGCATTTCATTTGACAAAGATATCTATAATATAATATTATATACCATAATATAGCGATTTATATACACGATTGTACCATAATGTATATTGTACATTTTATACACTATACACAAAACATCTAAACAATGTATGATTTATTGTATCATAATTTTAATAAATGTCAACGTTTTGTTTGTTTTAAATGTTTATGTATTCTATTTTCTAGACAGATGCGATTTCTACGTGAATGATTGTATATATGATATATAGAATTTACTGTAAATATTATTTAGAGGAAATTATGTATAATTGTATGATGTTATTATTATTTGACAGATATGTACTACATATGCTATCTTGTAATAAATGAAGTCTGTGATATACAAGTTGAATACGGCGTCGATTTTATTGTCCCTGGTCGCCCCTGGTGATTTAAACTGGTTTATGGTACATGTGGAACGGGACTAGGCCTACTAACTTTGACAGTAGTTCTTTAACGTTGTCCAATGTGTTTATACTCTTTGCTAAACTCTTTGCATTCGTTTGACTTCACTTCTTAAAAGAGTAGTTTGACTCTGCACGCAGGGTAATGTGTTTAGTATGTAAATATTATGAGGCATTGTACTATCATCAAATGCCGATTGTCTGATTTGCCTAGTCAAAACTGTCAATATGGAAGGGCATTTCCCTGCAGCTAAAAATGGTTTAATTATAATTCTAAAAGTATTTCGCGCAAGTACCGTGGTCATCATCACGGCCATGAGCCACCACACAGTGACAGGATAGAAAAATAGTAAGCATTTGCATCCACGATGTGTTATAACAATCGTGTAGGTCGAATATGTTATTCCTTATTCCTCTTTCTGACCGGGCTTAGTTGCATACAAGTATTGTTATACAGCTATTCATTCGAAAATGTCATGCAAGAGATCTGTTTCATCGTTCCTTAATTCAATAGTACATAGCTGACTTCACGATAACTTCTTCCGCGCACTCATTTCGATTTGTACAATAATCCACCAACTATTATCCGAATACTACCAGTGTAGGATATAATATTTCATTTCATGTAATGCTATCCATACACATTTCTTTATCTTGATGGGGAAGAGTAAGTCATAGTATTGGTTTGATAAAGTTTATCCCCTTCTTATCTTTTCACGTATGCACCGAACGAAAATGAAGTATGTTACCGGGGATATTTTGTGCTCTTGTATTTACTTGCTATCGTTAGCTGTACATTCCATTGACTAAATAATCCACCTTAGAGTAATGACGTCGTTGCCAGCTGTCATAGACACGCTTACCGACAACAATGAGCACTATGAAGAAAAACATGACACCTATCGTCAATGCAAATATCAAAGGTATTGTCACGGAAGTATTTTTTGATAAAATGGAGTCACTTTTCTCCACTGATTGAGTATTGTTTGTGCTTGTGATATTTGATTGAGCAGTCTCGTTTGTTTTTGTTTCTGGTGATTGAGCAGTCGTGCCTGGTATTGTTGTGGTTGTACGTTTTTGGACAGCTGACGTTTTATCTTTGGCTGATACAGTTGTCGTTGAATCTAAAATCAGAAATCCAATTTAAAATATAAACGCATATTTTAGATTGATCACATATATGTTCGAGATATTCCAAGATAATAAATGATAAAATAGTTTATCAGCTCGCTGATTTCGATTAAATTGGTTTTAATCAAAATGTATTAAAAATATTTCCTCTGTATCCAATTGGGCAAATTAATACAAAGTTCATACATACACACGCGGTACTAACTTCGACCGTTAATTTAAATTGTTGACCTACCGGATGTTTAAAAATCAAGGAATACGAGTCTCATACTGCACCGTTTTTCTTCATCTGGTAGGTAAAAAATTCAAATTAACGGTCGAAGTAAGTACCGCGTGATACACGTTCTCTTAAATCGTCTGACAAAAGCAATGTTGAAGTATTTGCAGTTGCAAAAACCGTGTAAATTGTTCGGTGAATATCAGTGAACAATACCTGTTTCAGCTTTAGTTGTTGCGATTAAAGTGCTTGTGGCAGTGATTTTACTCGATGCTGTTTGTTTGTCTGTTAGTGTCGTGTTTGTTACAATTGGTATTTTTGTTGTTGTTGTTGTAGTTGTAAATTGCGCCACAGCTGTTGATTGTACAGCAGCTGTTGATGGTACTGACACTGTGGATGTTTCTGGTTCAGCTGTAGATTGAGGATACAGTGTTTTATCGTGTACACCAACGATAGACCCGCCCTCATCCTCTCCCGCAGGAGCTTCAATATAAAATGTAATTAGAGAACAATTAGTATCCGAATATAGGTTGATAAGATATAATATCACTTACAATATTCAACATATTATTAAAATGCAACATATATTGAAATAATGGCTAAATTAATTTAATTATTATATAATTATCTACGTCAAAAACATGAACTCATTTTCACATGCGAAGTGTAATGCCATTTTGAATACAGAAAACTCGACTCACCAACAGTTGTGGTAGTGTGAGCTGGGAGTATATCAGGAGAAGTTACTGGGGATGGTGTCGTTTCCTCCATCTCAGCAACGGTTCCTTCAGTTACACTCATGTTTCCGCCCTTATCAACATTATCCTCTGTATCCGGGCCATTGGTATTTGTCTCAGTTGTCTTGTCTCCTATAATAATTGATGTTGCCTGTATTGAACCGCCTTTATCTTCTGTATCAGTCTCAGTATCAGTTTCAGTTCGTTTGCTCTCCTTACTTTCATCCTCAAGTGAGTCTGGTGTTGTCGTTTTATCAAGCTCAGGACTTGATATTGGGTTTGCAGTGTTAGTTGAAATCGAAGTTTGCGTTGTGGTTTGAACTGCCTCTTTGGTTATTGGCAGGTCTGTGGTGGTTGTGCTTGGTAATTTGGTTGACGATTTTGTTGTGGTTGGCGCTATTGTTGTCGTCGGTTCAGATGTGGTCTGCGTTGTAGTTGAACTAGGTGTTTTTGTTGTTGTTGTCAGCTTTTGAGTTGTTGTTGTCTCTTGTGTTGTAGTCGGCCTTTGTGTTGTTGTAGTAATTGTTGTTAGCTTAGGAGTGGTAGTGGTAATTTCTGCTGTGGTAGACATTAGTGTTGTTGTTGTTGTTGTTCTTATTGTTGTAGTCGTTGTATCTGCTATTGTATCCTCTCGAATGTTATTGTCTTTGTTATCATCAGTGTTTCCAACGAAATCTCTATTGAGGAGGCCACTTGTGTACCCAGACATTTGACGGAATTTACAGTTCTCGAGAGGAAAGCAACGAATTAAGAAACATCTGTCCTTGGCCTTGTTATACACGGCAATGTTACAGTTGGCTGAAAATAAAATCGAAAATTATTGATGAATTTATAGATCTTCAAAAATCTCGACTCCTTGTCTCGTCTTATCCCTTTCTCTTTAGGTAGTTTGGTTTTGTTCATAAAAATAATCTTGATCTACATAATGTTCTAGATTCTGTCCACGGGGTACTTTCACGCTTTAACACGCTAAACAATGGGAATTCCTAATATAGTGGGGAGGAATAGTACATATGATTATAAACATAGTTACCATCATCGCAACACTTTGATCTGCAATCTTTATAATCCAAGGCATCTTTTGTCCCAATAAATGCATGTTCGGCATTTGTTGAATGTGTAAGATCTATATTGTAATTTATTCTCACTTTATTTGTTGTACACGTGCCTTCCGCCGATGTAGATACTATGATACATAAGTAAAGATACACTATTGATAACTGGATCCACGTCGTTCGGTTAGCCATTTCTTACAGTCTGAAAGTGAGACAGAAATATGAAATCAATGAAAATAAGCAGATACGTTCTTGATGGAGCATAGTTCCAAGGCATGGTATATAAATGAGTCCTTTTGTGAGTCAAAGTTTGAGACAAATAGATAAAGTACAAAGGGCAATCTTAAATGCGTTTTGTGAACACAAACCAAGTCGGTGTATCTTTAATGTTTTTATTACTAGATCTATATACACTGTACGTTCTTAATTTTATTGTATTCATTTTCTATAATTTTCGATTAAAATTGCCGATAAGCTTTTTGTTTCATAAAATGTTGACACTTGATCATTTCAAAACTTTTTTGAATTAATGGAATAAATCACGAATAAAAAACAACAAAAATCACCCCTATATTAACATGAGGGAATGGGATACATACTAACATACTAGTAGTACATAAAAAGTACAGAGCATTTATATTGAATCATATTATATGCCCCCCCCCCCCATTAAATTTCAAGAGGGAATGGGAAACAAAATATAAAATATACACATGTATAATAGGGTTCATACTCCCTGTAATACACCATCCAAATTCGATATGGCTCGCTATCGCATTTACAGTGCTTTTAACAATCGAAAATTAACATTGTACTTTGTAGATTATTAATCAGCAGAAAATCTATAACATGGCAATGCTGATATTGTTTCTCTTCCGTCAATCTGTATTGCTGCATGCTTTGAAAAATCTATGAGCAACTTGTTGAATGCTTAGTGAAAAATTGTATTAATATGCATATGCTGTCATTCAGCCTGTATGTTTGGTATTATAGCTTCAAGCACCCATTGTTTTACATTATTAAACGTTCTTGATGAAGTGAAATGTGTTGTCCTTATTGTCAATATTTGGGAGTGTTTTTAAAATGACATTTGGAGCACTTTCTTTTTGAGGTTTGTTTGGTTAAAACTTACTGTTCAAATACTTGTGATTTGAAACAAAACTACTGGTCATATTGACTTTTGGTAGGCAATTAATCGGGGATGTAGTGATGTATGATTCAATTTTATATATACATGTATGTCTCTGTAAAATAGTCAAAACGCTTTATAATATATCAGTTAAGGTTTGCAAAGCCTAGAAGATTTGTGCATGACATAAGCATATGAGAATATCATAATCTACAGTAGAAGTCAACATCCAGAAGAATTATTCTGTTTGGTCTACGTTAACAGATACTCAGTATTTCAAATTAACTTGATTTTATTGAATATTTTTCACGAGACTATAGTCTGACCTTAATAACCTAAATGAGATAAACTGATATCAAAACAATACGTACGTGGACAATTGTAGTCAATAGATTTGATGATACATTTGATGTGTTGAACTAGCAGGTCTCTTGATCTCTTCAAATGGTAGCAGCTGACTCAAAACCATGTTTAATCCCAATCCTTGTATATCACGTCACTGTAGTCATTTGAATCGATCATGGAGCATTATTTGGTACATCCATTTTAAATATCCCATTTTAGATATATCGAAAACTTAACGAGTAATAACTATGCAAACTGGTGTGTTAAATCATAAATATGTCCATTTATACCAGTAGATCTATAAACGTCATGCGTATGTGTATATTATCTCGGCAATACCATCACTTTCTGTATCTATACATGTTTAATCGCTATCTAACTTATCAGATTGTTAATTTATATCGGTCTGCCATCTGCCGCCTTTTATATTCAATACAGACTGTACGATGAAACTGTTGGAAAATTAATTGTATTTGAGTTTTCTATTGAAAACTCTATTGAAAACTCCGTTATTGATTCTGCCCCGGAGTGTTAAAATTTCATCTTTGAGTTATTGAATTTTATAAATTGCAACGTGGCATGGCGTCTTATGTTTGATATTTAATGTAAACACAAAGTCAAGTCTTTCGATTATTTTATTGCTTATCGATGCCTGTTGAACATTGTTTAAAACACATTGGACTTTGTATCTATTGACTAGTAAGATATGGTAACTAACTAAAAACGGTTCCTTTTGATATAAACAGCGGGTTATGTTAAATATATATAAATGTACCATGCAAACCAGTGACCAGGGGATATACATTCAATATCCAAAACCTAGCATCGCATAACTAATTTATCCTGTCTCTCATTACTGCTAACTATTAATTAAAAACAGTTTTCCGTATACATAGTACCCCACACACAATTTTGTCGGCTACTTTGATGTATTGTAGAAAAATATCCAAAAAGAGTTTGCTTATGAAATTTGGCATACTTTAACTTGAAACATTTTGTGACACTCAAATTTTTTTATTTGGAAATTTAAGTAATATTGACGAAAAACAAGCAGTTATTAAATATTCATGTTTTAACAAAATTCGACGAAAATTTCCAGTTTTGCAGTTTCAAAGAGAGTTCAAATCATTTTGATTACAAACTTATTGCATTACATATGGTTTATCTGTTCTCTTAAGATATTGTTACTATGTGTTTGAGATGTTTTAACTCCTAAATAGGAATATTTTAAGGGTGGTTTTATTATTGTTAAAGAGTGAAGACCCCTATTATGATTCTTTCAATACATGGGTAGGTGCATGTATCATATGGCTTGAAGTCTAAAAAGGTTTATCAGTGAATTAAAAGACATCCCTGCGTGGATTTCTATCCCATCCTACCACTACAGCATTTCCTACTTTCTCACTCGATTAAAAAATCGCATCTCATAAAATCTCAAGAAAATGCTTGTATTTTGTTTAAGTTATTTAAGGCATGATTAACAGTGAGCTTGCACTCTTCAAAATTTCGTTGGCCTACGATAGGGAGGCAACATTCGTCCAATGACTCACAGGTTGCCACCGACCGCTTACCTTTTGTTGGACAACATGAAATGATTCACATGGATTTAACATGTGACCTTTCAGAGGTAACAGCATAAATTGTAACATTATAACAGTCACTCCTGCTTGGTTCAGTTTTGCTTTTACCTGTGGATTATAATGGTGTTTAATAGGATAGGATTGACCAGAATATTCAAATTGTTTTTGTAATTCAATACAAATTGTTTCAAAATTTTGCTTAATTTAGGTCAAATCTGTAAATACGTAGCAATTTAGAAACCGATGTCAAATTGTGGTGAAGTAATATTACCCCAAACAAAAAAATTTGAGTGTCACAAATTGTTTCAATTAAAATGTATGCCAAATTTCATGAGGAAATTCTTATTGGATTTTTTTCTACAACACATTAAAGTGGGCGACAAAATTGTGTGTGGTGTACTATATACTCAATCAGCGGAGTAAACGGTAAAAGTACGTGGGAGAACTTATCCACACAGGACCATAATTTTATAGCTTCACGCCAAGTTAATTTCTAAAAACGTGCATCTTAACCCCCCTATTGTTTTCATAAAAGTATATCGCTATACTTGCCTGCCATCTATAAATCCTGAACATCTTATTTTATTATATGGACATTTTAACTCCTTGAAGACTACCCGACTGAAAATCAGTAGAATACTGCTGTGGGCCTTTAAAAAGCTTTGGGAACTACTAGGGACACGTATCAGTCATGTTTATCCGTCATGCAATACATGAATTTATTGTAATATCAGTCTTCGACCATATGCATGATACAATTCACATTTAGTGCGATATCTGTATTTATTGTAATTTTTGACCATATGCAACATGCTACTCTCATTTAGTGCAATATATGTATTTATTATGCAATATCCATCTCACATTAGGTGCAATATATGTATTTAATATAATGATTGACAATATCATTCCATGAACTGCTTATTTATGCCAAACTGATTAATCAGACTGAATTTATATCATTGGTTATTAATGTATACATTTTTACCAGAGACATTTTTTTGTCTCTGTCTTTATGAATGTTGACCCAAGCTGCCCATTGGGGGGTAGTAATGGGTGACACTCAGATATAATGTATACTTTGTCTCATAAGTCGGCAACGGCTGGTGATGTTACAAAATGTTGTTTTTATTATGTATTTTATATGTACTGTATATTGTAATATCAGTGACACAAAAATAAACTATTTTAAACTAAAAACTAAAACTAAACTATATCAAGTGAAAGGTTAATGGAAGGTGATGGGTAATGGAAAATGGCGTTGCCACTTTAAATGCTTCTAGACATTTAGGTTTTGTCGATATGAACAACGAGATGCATATAAATACATATTATGAATGAATTAAACATCGAATGGTATTTCCTGAATTGAATGCCGATCCGTCAACGGCAAACTATTCATGTAGCCGATTTCAGCAACAAGTAGAATTTACATGAAACATCCATTAGCAAATAATTATTAAAACAATGTGTGATATATTAAATAGATAACTCTCCCAAAAGCGTTCGGAGGTTGTTGTTGGTTGCCGTTCAGCGTCTGTAAAAAATGGCAGGTGGTGACATCTTGTTGCGCTATTGGCCTGTTTTATCATTAGTTGCTCTGCTTAATTGTATTTTTGTTCGACCTGCCGTTTTATATTGTATTGGTATCTCTGTTTTGTTTTTCTTGCTCTATTATTGTTGGTCTCCCGGCCTTTTTGTAATTTTTGCTTTGTTTTCTTGTTTTGGGTGGAGAATATAACGACTCTACGAATCTTTTTTTTTGTTGTTCGACCGGCCATTTTCTTATTGGCATCTCTGTTTTGTTTTTCTTGCTCTATTATTGTTGGTCTCCCGGCTTTTTTGTAATGTTTTGTTTTGTTTTCTTGCTTTGGGTGGAGAATATAACGACTGTACCAGTTTGGCGGAAACAAGATCCGATGGCAATTATAGTCGGGTGATGAAGGATTTTCCTGTATTACTTTTTGAATATATTCATCGCTTAATAACATGCTTTCATTCGTGTTTTTGCAAGTTTTTTGAAGACTGCGTAATTTATCGTCGTAATGTTTCAAGCTTCGCTGAAATTCCTCACCCTTTGATTTAATGCGAGCCCAAAGAGAAGAATTGAAATAGTCAAACATTTTGTAATCGACATTGCTGAATTTGCGCATGTTATCTACAGCCAGTTCCATATTGGTTGTATGGTTTAAATTACTTGTATTTCGGGGACCCGGTTGACCCATTATCCTTGATGCCACGGGTTCGGAGGAAACCTTCTGTGAGATAAATAAAAGATCATCCAATGACCAACATAGTATATCCTTTAGAAGAACCAGAGATTCTTTCATATAGTCTGTTATTAGGATTAAGGCAAACTTTTTGTTGATCCTTTCAACGAATTTCCGAGATATCGTCTCGTTCATCATTGGATTGTCTAAGCCATACCACCAACTTTGAAAGTTTTGAAGAATTCTCATTTCTTCCTTGAATTTCCATGGGTTTTCCTCAAATTCACTCAAACTTGGTTTTGATTTATTATTACCATAATTATAAAAGTTGTAGTAGGACTTGAGATGTTTTAAAGGTTCACGAATTACCCCGATATAAACAGTGTCATTTGGCATGACCTTTTGTATGAGTGCTTCTTCGTACCTTGTATGGTGCACTAACATATTCACGTGTTTGCCAATGTCGCCATTTATGTCCTTTTTGTTTACGATTGAACGTCCAGATCGTGGCAAAATGAAAGTTGAATTGTGTTTATCACCGTATCGTACAAAAATATTCGCCAAAGTTGAACCGCCGCATTTCTGTACTTTAATAAAAACCAGATTTTTGACGGGACGACATTTTTCTTCAGATTGCTTACTTAGAAGTCGTTTGATGAACACGTCTAGTGTTGTGTTTGTTTGCCACGATTCGATTTGTTTCTTAAATGTCTGCGTAATTTGTTCCTGATAATGTACACAAATTATACACGTCAGACAAAGCGCACCGAACATAAGAGGGGTTTTCCTCAGAGTCCGCATGATCATATTAAGTTCCCAACGTCGATCTTTAATCACTGCTCTGATAACCCCGGCAATGGGCCTTTTTTGTAGCTCAGCTGAAAAAATGATGGAATATACATAATATACATAACTTACAAAATGCATATTATACAAGCAGCACACCATGCCATGGTACTGAAAAAACACAATTCATGCATTATATACATGAGCACCTTCTGGCTAATTAGTTCAAAGATTACCCATGCTCTTGGTTTAGTTTGATCACCTACTTTTTGAGTATTCAAACAGCTGATACACCATCGCTATCGGAGTAGAATATGAAAATGCTAGAAACTCTCATTCTGATACTCATAGCATCTTTTTGTTTTACCCCATCTCAATACTGAGATGTCATGGTTTATCATGATGAGAAACTCTCACTGATAATCATTCAAGTTAAAAATGCACGTGCGAAGTCATTTGCAGACTTATTGTTTACCGCCAATGAATGGTAGTCGTGCATTGAATGATACAAAAAATGTATTTCGCGTTCTGTATTTGTAACTGAATTGCTGTATTGACAGACAATACTTCTATCATTTTAATGGTATTTGAATCATTAAATAGTTGTAACTGAATTGCTGTATTAGTAGATAGAAAAGTACTAATACTGAAACGCCACCATAAGACACCATAACAAATTTGCCCTAGATAAGATGACCAGGAGATGTGACACTGACATCATTGATTGGATGAAACGACACGGTTACCAATGACTGGCCTGATCATGGCATCGTAGATTCCGAAAGTACACTGATGAGTCATTATTCTAGAAGGTTCTAGGCCATTGTGCAATATATGATTTTAGACCAACATGAATGAATGAAAACGTAAAAATATTTCACAATGTACTACAAGTCTTGAATTATCAGTTGTTTAAAGATATGTGTTTATTGAGAGATAAACTGTACTGTATTGTTTTACTCACCCTGAAGTTTGATTCAATCAGCAAATTAAAATTACTACAATATTCACATTATATCCAAAATAGACATATTGAGATGTTAAGCAGTATACAATGTACATGTACATTATAAAAGTCTGGTTCAAATTCCTAGCGATTATTATTTGACTGACCAATACTCTTTACAAATATAAAAGCTATTGAACTTCAGTTGTGATTAAATAATCCTATTGTAGTATAATAAGCTGGTCGAACAAAATAGCACTGTTCAATGAAAAGTTATATGATGTAGATATTGGATTTTGGATTAAATATGTGTATAGGTGAAAAGGCTTATATTGGATTACTCTGACTGACTTGTTTTTATTTTCACAGTAGTAGGGTAACAATTGTATTGAAACCAATGTTAATTGCATCATTATGTTAATCCTTAATGTTCTAGAACATCTTTTGTTTATAGTGTTAATCCCCCTTTCTAGAACCTTCCAGAGCAGATGACATCATCATCTTAGAATATCACTGTCCAAAAAATATGACATCAGTTTCTAAAAATAACACATTTACTAGTATAAATTACAATCACAAGTGTAAACTGTATTCACACCTTTAAGCTGAAGATGGAAAACAAAAGAAACTTTACTTGTCATTGTGGTAGATCATATAAGCATTTAAGTAATTTAAGCACACATAAAAGAATTACTCATGGAAGTCAGATTCAGCAACATAATTGTGATATTTGTCAGAAGGTATTCAATCACAAAGAGCATTTACAAAGACATAAAAGGATACACAGCAATCCAAATCATGCTTGTGATGTTTGTGGGAAACCTTTTCATAGAAGAGATAGATTAAATCAACATAGGGAAAGGCATAATTTTCAAATCGGAGCAGGTCCTGAAACATCTGATGATACAGTTGAATCGTTAGACAATGAAAATAACACAACAGAGGAACCTATGCAAGTCAATGATGTTGATGCAACACAAGAAAATGTAGTAGACGATAATGATCAATTAGAATGTGATTTTGAAGAAGAAGCGATACAGGGAACATTGGTTGTAAAAACGATCAAAGCATATGGGCAATCAAAATTTGATCCCTTATACTTTTTTAAAAGAAATGAAGAGAAAGTGAAACATCTGTTGTCAAAACAAATCAAGAAGTTTGGCAGTATCAAATGGTACATGTCAATCCAAGTACAGTTCAAAAAACAGAAAAAAGAAGAGACTGAATTGGCATGGCCTCATTTTAGAGGTCATTGTCAAACCGCAATGAAAAAGGTAGATTTAGATGATGCATTTAAGGAGAGTGTGAAAAAAATGTATGATGCTTTCATTTCCTATCAGCGTGAAGGCAGTTCATGGATACTCGATTATGTTATTGAACTGAAACTACATATTGTCAAATGGAAACCAATTAAAGGCAGCAGTTATATCCCTACCCCCTTAAAACTGAAGGCTAAACGAGTTATTATCAATGTTCAAAATAAGGACAAAAAATGTTTTGCTTATGCAGTGCTTTCAGCATTGCATCCTCATAAAACAAATCCTCATCGAGTACACAAGTACAAACCATTTATGCATGAACTCAACATGGAGGGGATCAAATACCCAGTAAAACCTGATGATATTACAACATTTGAAAAAAACAATGACATTTCGGTCAACTTGTTTGGATATGACAAAGAGGTTTTTCCCATACACATCACTAAGAAAAGAACAAACAAACATGTAAACTTGATGTTGCTATCAAACAAGAAGCGAAGTCATTATTGCTGGATTAAAAATCTTAATCGACTTCTCTATCATACCAAATCAAGGGGAAATAAACATCATTTTTGTCCATATTTTTTACATGGATTTACAAAGGCTACACTATTACACAAACACATCAACTATTGTCAAATTCATGGACCTCAGAAAATTGAATTACCCTCAGAAAAGGATAAATGGCTACACTTTAAGCAAGTGGAAAAACAATTAAAGGTTCCATGGATTATATATGCTGATTTTGAGAGTGTTTGTGAGAAAGTTTCTGGTTGTCAAGGAAATCCCCATAAATCATATACACAGAAAATGACTAAACATATTCCATCAGGTTTCTGTTATAAAGTAGTCGGACCTACTGAAGACTTAACTAAACCTGCTGTTGTATACACTGGACAGAATGTGACGGATACATTAATTGAACACATGGTTAAGGTTCAAGATGACATTGATTTGTGGTACAAACATAAGCAGAAACCTTTAAAAATGCGTTCTGGAGATCGTGAAAAATTTGAAAATGCAACACATTGTCATATCTGTAAAGAAGTCCTTGGGGAAGACAGGGTTCGTGACCATGATCATGTGACGGGGTACTTCAGAGGTGCAGCGCATAATGCATGCAATGTGAACTTTAGATTTCGGGATCGAATACCTGTTGTATTTCACAATTTGAAAAATTATGATGCACATCATATTATGCAAAGCATAGGACAATGTCAACACAATAAACTAAAAGTGATCCCAACTAATATGGAGAGATACATATCGTTTTCCATGGGATCTATGGATTTCATAGACAGTTTCCAATTTATGAGTACCTCATTGGATAAACTGGTGGGAAATCTGGCTAATGAAGGCAAAGAAAAATTTAAACATTTACTGAGTGAATTTAAAAATGAAGAAAAACTTGCACTTTTGATGAGAAAGGGTGTGTTTCCATACAGTTGGTTTGATCAAACTGAAAAATTAAGTGACAGTCAGTTACCTCCCATATGTGACTTTTTCAATGATCTTACAGGTGAAGAATTATCAGATAATGACTATGCTCATGCAAATACAGTTTGGAATACATTCAACATGTCAACATTCAAAGAATATCACGACTTGTATTTAATGACAGACACGCTCCTTCTCAGTGATGTGTTTGAATCATTTAGAGACTTAGCGATAGAAATGTATGAATTGGACCCTGCACACTTTTATACGGCTCTTGGACTTAGTTGGATAGCAGCATTGAAATATACGGGCGTGAAACTTGAGTTATTTACAGATCCTGACATGTATCTCTTCATAGAATCTGGTATTAGAGGAGGTATTTCAATGATATCACATAGGTGCGCGAAGGCAAACAATGAATATCTTACATATTATGATCAAACGAAACCAACATCTTATATTACATATATAGATGCGAATAATTTATATGGGTGGGCTATGAGTAAACCCCTCCCAACCCATGGTTTCAAATGGATGGATGAAAATGCTATAGCATCATTCAATGTTGATGGTATATCTGAAAATTCTGATGATGGATATATACTGGAAGTTGATCTAGAGTATCCATGTGAATTACATGACACACATTCAGATTATCCTTTAGCACCTGAATCTATACAAATTAATGAAAACATGACATCACCATTCTGCAAACGATTATTGGAAGAGTTGGAATTAGGTGAATGTAAATTAAATAAATTAGTTCCCAATCTCAATGATAAGACAAATTACGTTTTACATTATAGGAATCTTCAACAATATATTATGAAACATGGGTTAGTTTTGAAGAAAATCCATAGAATTCTCACGTTTAAGCAATCACCATGGTAAAAACCTTACATTGATTTGAATACTCAAAGAAGGATGCTGGCTAAAAATGCATTTGAGAAAGACTTTTTTAAACTCATGAACAACTCTATGTTCGGGAAATCCTGTGAAAACTTAAGAAATCGACGGCTGATTGAGTTGATACACAAAAAAGCAAGATTGCAAAAACTCGCTTGTAAACCATCATTTTATGGATTTAAAATCTTTAATGAAGATTTAGCGGCAGTAGAATTGAGAAAGATCAAATTGTATCTCAATCGACCCATTTATTGTGGGTTTGCAATTTTGGATCTCAGTAAAACATTGATGTATGAGTATCATTACGAACATATCTTACCTAAATACGGTGACAAGTCTACATTATTGTTTACAGATACAGATTCCCTATGTTATCTTATACAAACAGAGAATATTTACAAGGATATGGCTGAAAACATGGATCTGTATGACACATCAGACTTTCCTAAAGATCACATGTTATATTCAACTTCAAACAAAAAAGTCATTGGGAAGTTTAAAGATGAAACAATAGGAGTTTGTCCATCGGAATTCGTAGGATTGAAACCTAAAATGTACTCCTTATTAGTACAAAATGAGGCAAAGAAAACTGCTAAAGGAGTGAATAAAGCTGTCATTAAAAACCAAATAACACATGATGACTATCGCAATGCAGTACTAAATCATGAATTGAACATACATTCAATGAAACAAATTAGATCATTGAATCATGAATTGTTTACACTTGAAATAAACAAGATTTCACTTAATCCATATGATGACAAGAGGTTTGTCCTCGAGGATGGTATTACTTCTCTAGCACATGGACATTACAAAATTAAAAAAATTAATATTTAAAATTTAAAAAATGTTTTTTGTTTCTTACAAATATTACATTCCTCCCTCTCTTCGTCATCATTCCCCCTCCTCCTCCTCCTCCTCCTCATTCCATTCTCCTCCCCATTCCCCCATCCTCCTCCCCATTCCCTTCTCATCCTCCTCATTCCATGCTCATCCACCTCCCCCTCATTCCATCCTCCTCCCCATTCCCCCTCTTCCTCCTCATTCCCTCTTCCTCCTCCTCCCCATTCCCTCCTCCTCCCCATTCCCTCCTCATCCTCCTCATTCCATGCTCATCCACCTCCCCCTCCTCATTCCATCCTCCTCCCCATTCCCTCCTCTTCCTCCTCATTCCCTCATCCTCCTCCTCCCCATTCCCTCCTCCTCATTCCATGCTCCTCCCAATTTCCTCCTCCTCCTCCCTCCTCCTTCTCCTCATTGCCTCCTCCTCTCCTTTCCCTCCTCCTCCTCCTCCTCATATTAATAGACAAGTGACTAGTTGATGTATTCATTTTAGACAAAACTCTTGAAAGATCAACATCATTTTTAGCTGTAATGAATGTTTAAAGCAGTTTACACGCAGAGATAATAAGATTCGTCATATGAAGATCGCACATGGAAAAACTCAAAATGATCATATATCTAAAAGACAACATAGCATGGGATTTCTAGATGGAGCAATTCAAACACAGCAACCTGAAAATAATGTAAATATACCTAATCATAAGGTATCAGAAACACCTCAAATAAATACAGAGGGTTCAAGTATGTATGACATAAAAACTGGAACGACACCTTATTCCTCTCATTGTGTATGTGACAATATGGTCTCATGGGATGCCTGTGGTTTAGTCTTTGAGAGTATTCATGATTTGCAACATCATGTTAAAAATTGGTGTCATGGTCATCTATCCAAGAAAATGAAGATTGAAACCAACCCACAAACAAACAAAGATTCCTACGAAGATGATGATCTGAGATCAAATGAAACATTTATATATCTAAAAAACCTGGCTAGAAACGATAATGAAAAGGATTATGATCATAAAGTAAAG